TAACATGCCTGTGTTTTGAAGCACGTAGGAGTGTATGACAAAGCCGTTTCTTCTTTATCTCTCCTTGACAGATTTCAACCACCTCCACACTGCTAGGGTTGGGGAATGACTGTAGTCACTTTTTCCTGCAGGATGAGAACCCTCAGGAGATGTTGCTGTCTCAGGAATTGGTTATAAAATTCAGCACAATGAACAAATCCTTCTGTATACCAAAAGGTATCAATAACAGACAAACTCCAGGCAATTCAGTTACTTAAAAGAGCAGCATTTGACACTAATGCATAGGGGAAGGGAAGGAAGCTACATGAATGGCTTAGGGAGTAAATGTTAGGCAAGAAAAGGAATGAAAAGGAAGCACTTCTCCTGCAGTGCTCAGTTAGGTGTGCCAGTGAAAAATGCATGACTATACAAAGCACTCAGATGGAAATATGTAGACTTTTGTGGATGGCTACAAGATATCAATAACAAATAGGCTGTTAACACAACTCAGTCTTCCTTAGCAGTGTACACAGCGTACAAAGCCAGTTCTGCTAAAGAAGCCACGCTGTACGTAAGTCTTGATATTTCTTGCTCACTGTTTCTTCCTTACAGAGCTTCGTGTCTTATATAAAAACCAAAAACCTAAAAGAACCTTTGCTGAAGAATTCACTGTAAGCTTTAGTAGCGGTAATAAACCAATGGAACACTATTTCTTTGCAAATTCTCTTAGACAAGGAGAGATATAGTAGTTGACTTCATAGTTTTATGCTAGAACGAACACAAAATGTACTAGATTCAGTTATTTTTCTTCGTTCTTCTCAGTTGCAAATGTATACATAAAACTGAGAAGCAATTTGCTACAAGTGGAGAAGAACTGCATCACAGAGTAAGCATTTTCTAACATGTCAACAGTTTTCTGTGTTAGATAATTTCTCTTTGTCCTGGCATGATTATATATAGACTAGCCTTCTTAAAATACTATGCAGGGGAGCAGAAGTCAGAATGTTTGTCCTTCAGGAGTCTCTCTGCAGACATGGATAAACAATACGGAGATGCCTGAGCCATTTGGGATTCACTCTGCCAGCAAGGCAATTCCACCCCATCACCTTTCAATGTAAATAACTATCCTTAATTAATGGAGATGCAATATATACTAGAAGTAATGATAGACTGAGCAAATTAACAAAGTCAGGGCAAGATGTTGTAGCTCCGCTGAAGGCATTTGGTGAAGATCTTCCCCCTTCATCTCATTAGTTTAGGTCAGCTAAAAAAACAACGTTAAGTAAAAAAACACAGTTTTTATGCTGTACAACAGTGCTGAAATGAAATACATTCCAGATGTCTGTTACAATAAATAGCTGGAAGCAGAAACCAAGCCACTCAGACATGGAGCTAGCTAAATCTCACATGCAGTCCAAAATGTCTGCAGCTACAGTTACAGAAAGGAAGGACAAACTTTGAAAGCACTTTTCTGATGGTGCACGAATAAATACATGAATGTGAACTCAACAACAAAGTCAATATTAATCCTTCCCCATTCATGCTGTACTGGGGATTTGAAAATTAAATGTAATTTAAAGTTAGACGTGCTGTAATTAAAGAAAAGTTAAATTTACCAGCCTGTGGAAGCTTCTATTTTCCTTCTCTTTCCCTTTCCCTACTCCTACCTTTTAAAATCTCTTTTAACTTCGTTTTTCTTTGTACCAACCACCAGTGAAATGCCAAATTCCTCTAGCTTGGTTCATTTGTTTCTTTGGAATGACCCAAATGTGAAAACTAAGCAATGCAGCTGGGACACAGGAATGCTTTTCTTTCAGCTTTGTTTTCATACTCTGCCTCCTTTTTCCAAATGGCTTCTTGTTCCTCTCTCCCTTCAGATTAAACTGTCCTTAAAAATATCCTTGCAATGGATAGGAGGAAAGGAATTGGGCACGGGAAGTGTTAGATTTCAAGATGAGAAAAAGCAAGTTGGGGAGCCCTCAGAAATGTTACAAGTTATCCTGGGAAAACAAATCTCGAGAGTGGTATGGGACTTTAAATCTAGATCTTCATAATTTCACTCTATATGTGGTTCTCATATTTTAAGTTTACTGTTTTGTTTTGTTTTGTTTTTTCTTTCCATTCTCCCCCGTGTGTCCACTTGCAGTTACTTATTCATGACTTGGAACACAAACTGTTTGGAGCAGGGACTGCTGTGTGCTGCTGTGTGTGGTTTCCCCATGTTTCCCCAACGTGGTAACACCACATTAGTGGTGATAAAAATAGCAGTCATCATCCCTCTCTGGAGAATTCTTGTTTCAAAATTTGAGATTGATCTCCCGTTTAAAATACAGAGAACTGAACTCTGTGATTATAATCGTGCTATTACAGAATTTGGGCAGTAGGTGTGCACTGGTTCTTTGAATACACCCATACTACTACTTGCAAAGTAATAAACCAGCACACAGTACAGCTTCTTGTAAGGCTGAACAGGCCCTGTGCGCCACCTCACTTCAGCGCCGAGTTCCTGTTCATTTCCAAGTTGCCTCAGACATTGGCACTATGGACATCTACAGCTCCTTCTCTTTTACATGGAAGAAGGAGACAGTGAGCAATTTCTTCCTTGGTACCAATTAACAATGAACAGCAGAATGAAATAGCTGAGTAAAGCACAAACGGTTACAATAATGGCTTTTAAATGTGGATCGATTTTTCTTCTGCATCCTTCCTTTTGGGCAGTTCAAAACGTGGCGATTCTGAGCAGGTTTTTATTTTTTACTTATTTTTTAAGGATATTGTAGGGAATTACAGAATCATAGAAATCATTTAGGTTGGGAAAAGACCTTCCAGATCAACAAGTCTATCCATCGACCTGACCCCTGCTAAATGAAAATCTGTTTTCCTGCCAAAAAGGACAGTCGTCTCTTAGTTCCCAGTATGACACTAAAGGTCAGGAAGATACAGGGATTCCATTTATCTCATTGCTGCTATTTTAATCTGTAAGCAATCTCTTGCTTGGTCCTGTCCAACAACATGTAGCTGATTGATACAATTAAATATCTGGGGGCTTGATTATTGACTAAAATACTAACAGGCTGCTTTCCCCTCTGTAACTTGTGGGTTTAGAATTTCAAATATTGCACCCTCTCATTAGTTCTTAAACATCTGAGTTTCGCTATACACTACACATGATTGCACCAGCACAATACAGATTTTTTAAAACTGGAAACACTAAATCCCTCTTGCAGGAACAGTACCAACAGCAGCTCAACTTGCTCAGGTTTCAGCCAGAACACAGTAAGTTCACAAGTTCCATGAGCAGGTCTTCTCCAAAGGCTTGAGAAAACATTAGTGGGAGAGGTGAAACCATACACAGACAACAGAGTGAACTGGAGTTCTCATGCTTCACTTTTCTTCCAACAAATGTGTTGTAATATTATTAACCAGTGATTTTGATAATTACTGTTACTATTATAAATCATGTTCAGGTAGTATCTGTGTCAGTAACCTTTCCTCTCTGCTTTTCCAGTTCCCCAGCTAGTTCTATTACTTGGTCCACCTGGAAAAGCAGCAGCGAGGTTACATACACATGGACATTCATACGGCTGGCTGGTGTCTTTTTTTTCTTTCCCACCACACTGTTAAACTGGGCTCAGAGCAGCTCTGAATACCACTGAAGCTCTGGCTGTGACAACTGAGTGCTTTGCCACAGGTTTAGCTTCCCCTGGAGGACTCTGGGTCTAAATGCAGAAGAGGAGGTGCGAGATGTCCTTAAGAGAGGGCAGTACCGCCCTGTAGAGGGTTTATCCAACAGCTTGCCTGTATCCATGGGGTACTATCAAGTAGTAAAGTGTTAGTAAGAAATAGGCTTAGTACGGGATACTACTTCTACACTGCCCCATATTCAGCAGTAAAAATCATCCCTGAAATATGACTCCTTCTGTGATGAAGACTTACAAGCGAGTTATAATTTGCCATGTATTTCTGGGTACATTGCTATGCAAGGGAAGAAAGACTGCTGCAGCAGCAGTGTGGGAGGAGAGAGATTACTGAGTAAGGAATGCTAGAAAGCGAAATTACTCCTTGTGACACCAGGGAGTCACGTTTCTAACTTGCCTGATAACTGTATGTACTTCAGCTGCCTTGGAAACTCTCACACATATATGAATGTTATAGCAATCATATGAACAGGATGGGCAGTGTGCCAATGGGGTTGTAATTTTCAAGCACCTCTGCACTCAATTGGAGAGGGGAGGAGGATGTCCACTAACAGTGTAATTATATGGCAATTCCAGGGAAGCTGATTATTATTAGCTTTCTATGATCACGATAACAAAGTTAATGATCCAAGATGAAACAGCAAAAATTAGTGCTTGAACAGCATTCAGCAACAAGGTATCACCAGGTGAGAGTGGATGTATCTGAAACCACATAGTTCCTGAAACTGCAACGGCCATCTCCCACCAATTACAGCGATGGATGTGCTCGGTTAAAGCCTGATCCACTTTAATGGGGGAATCCCAGGATGAGAGGCCATGTAAGTATGCAATGACACATACAGTATGGAGAAGCGGGTGGGTGTTTATTCTAAATACCCACATCACGGGGGTATTTGCACCTTTAACCAACAGAGAGAATTACAGGTAGTGAATACAGATCAGTTTCTTCAAGTTGGTTATTGCTTTAACAAAATCTTCTGTCACTTTTTCTAACATCCATCTTTAGCCCCCCCCAGACACAGCAATGAGACTGGATATCTGCATAGTCAGAACTATCGTTTGCCAGCCATGTCTTCCCCTCTGAGGCTCTGTGGTTTTATAAATAATAATTAAAAACGCTTCTCTGTGCTGTGAGAAGGTTCTTCTAAAAGGAGAACAAGTTGCTGCAATACTTGAACAATAGAGTAATATTTTTGAAGGTCATAATAATAAAGTAGGGGAAAGAGAATAATCATTACTGCTCTTTCTTGTAATTAGTTTGCTTTCTGATATCCCACATTGCAACTAGAACATTATTCAAGAACACCCATCACAGTGCTTAACAAGATTTAATGTACATTTATTCTTAACATGTGGAACATATAAAGATTTTATACTGAATAAATGAAATTCATTAAGCCAGAGGAAAAGGAGGAATTTACATCAAGTTTTTTCTTTTTTAACTACATTATCTTGAAATACAAATGCAGATTCTTGTCACTGAAAAATCTTTGAAGTTGTGTTTCTTCCTTTTTTTCCTGTATATATTTTTTTGTCTGTAGACTGGTAACCATTTTCTTAAATCAATCCATACGTAACCATTTCCACACCTTGATTTATAAAGCAAATTGTGATCGGCTGCTCTCCCGAAATAGAGCATGACTTTATACATACAGAAACTTGTACATTACCCTCAGTTGTTGATTTTCTGTGTTGGGTTTTTCTTTTTTTCTTTTTTTTTTTTTAATTATTTTTTGGAGATATGGCCCAAATGAAAGAAAAATAATTCTACTATCACTTTGTAGATACCACATCATGAAAAAGAAACAAAAAACTTCGTACTTAAAAAAAAAAAAAAAAAAAAAAAGAGGGTATGTTTAATGTACAACTTCTATATACATCACGGCCCTTAGGCAATAAAAAAATATTTTAAAAAATGATTAAAGGAATTGTGAAGAACTGTCATTGTGGAAGGTCAAAAAAAAAAAACCAGATGTAGACAAGACAGTTCTGGTGAGGAAGCAATTGATGTTTATCATTAGGTTTTGTTTCAAAATCTTTCAACTTGAACTTTTTGTTTTGTTTTGCTCCTAGCCTAATGTTACCATTTCTCCAGAGGAGAAACCAGTATCGTTTTGTATTCTGACTACTGACTGACACCCTCCTTGATCCCCTACACCTACATCACTAGAATCTTCTATTGCACAGAGCTTTGGGTGATGGTATACAAGTTTTTTAAAATTTTTTCCTTATTTGAAAAAATAAAACACACAGGAACTTGGTACGTTGGTTACTTTTCACCTTTTTGTTTCAAAGTGGTGAGATTCTTTCCATCATACAATGGTTTGCTGTAACATTTTTTTTTAAAAAGTCACTAGTTCGCTTCCCAAAAAATATGCAATACAAACATGGAAAAGAACATTGAAAAGGATAATCTATGGAGAAAAAAAAAAAAAAAAAAAAAAAGTGTGACCTTTGAATGTACTAGACAGCAACTTTGGTTAAAAAAAAAATAAAATAAAAAGATGTACTTATACACATAGACAGCAAATATTAATTTCGTAACTGTTCAAATTAATAATTTCTTTAAATCCCAATTGGTAAATAGTGAATGGGGCAGAGGAGCAAAGATTCTTTTTTTTTTTTTTTTTAACCTTCTTCCTACGTTGGATAAACAAGAACAGAAAACAGCCAGTTATATGTGACCCTCTAATCTCCACTCACACATGCTTGGCTTCTCACTTATGTCATAACTGCCCAATCTGAAAAAGTACATCACAGATGACAGATGCAACCAGAGAGTTCAGGACAGCAGATATTGAGATATCCAGCAAACGACCCTCGTGCAAAAGGAACTCTGAGCGGTTCTCGTCCACTCTAGCCATGGCCAGCAAGGCCTTGGCTGCCCTGCACATCATGTCTACGCTAGGTGGCTCCAGAGGCGGAGGCTGCATGTGCATGAGGTTATGCTGGCTCTGCTGGTACTGGGCCATAGTGACCCCATCCTCCAGGAAGCTTATCAAGTTTCCGATGCTTCCCTTCTGCACAGCTATTGCCCTTGCTGCTAATGTGTCCCCCTGGGCAAGGTTCGATAAGAGCGCCATGGACATTTCTCGGCAGACCGGGTTTTTGCGGTCTCCAACGTACCTAACTAAAGTAGCGTAGAGTTTCTCCTGACGACTGAATGGGGGGGTGGCCAAGATAAGGTCCACATTATTGTCCTGGATACTGAGCTTACACAGGGTCTCCAGCACAAGTCTCTGAGGCGAAAGAACTGAGTTGGGCCCCACGGTTGGAAAAGGATCCTGTGCCTCTGCAGATGGGCACACCATCCAGTGCAGCAAGCCATCCAAAATTGGCAAACAGATGCTTTCTGTGTAAGCAGACAAGTCTAGCTGCCCAGAAATGTTGGCTAATGTGACCAATGTATTATCCCTCAAGACCTCGAGGCAGTCCCACCACCACTCATCCTTGCTGCAGGCCACCCCTTTGTCCTCCTCTTCCTCCTTCTCATAAGTCTGCGGCGCTCGCTTTCTTTCTGGATGCTCATGGTGAAGAAGGATCAGCTTTCCCAGGATCAGCACCAAGCCTGGATGTTTGGACATTTCGGTGTCGTTGCCAGGCACAAAAGACAAGCTACGGACGATGTTTGACACACAGATGCAACGTTTGGCCAAGGAGTCTTGCCAGTGAGTTATGGTGCATAGAGGAGTCTCATCCCGGCTCCTTGGCTCATCCTCTAGCAGTTTAATATTCCGGTGGCTTTTGGCTTGATGGATCCCAAAGGGAAATTTACTGCTCTCTGTTTGGGAACCAGAGTTTGAGTCTTCTGGCAATGCTCCTGGCCGAGCTGAGAGGACATCATCAATGGTTGCCGTTATACTTTTTTCTTGTTGTTCCTCAAATTCACCTTTCCCCTCGAGGTCTTTCTTTTTGCTTGGAGAGTTTGAGGGAGGAGGGGCTTTCCTGCGTGGAGGAATCTCCATCTTGCTTTCAAAGTGAGTCTGGATATGCTCAGTTGTGTCACCACCACCAAGCTGCCAGTGGAGAAGTCCACTATCAAATTCCTGAACACGTCCAAGTTTGTCAGATCGATCAACAACAAATAGATTATTTTTCTTTACAATCTTTATTGGCAGCTTGTCAAATTTACTGGCTTGTTTTGGCCTTTCGCTTGGATCAGCAATGGCACCAGGAGTGGAAAAAACAATGCTCTTTTCTTCTCCTTCTACGTTTTCATCATCCCCCTCCTCCTCCTCTTCATCAAAACAGTCAATACATTCGTCGTTCTCCTCTTTTCCAGTAGCCTCTGCCAAGGACTGGCTATCATCTTTCTTGGCTGATTTGTGATCAAGTGCTTTGTGACCTGGATCTCCCACTTCATATTCCATAAGGATTCCAAAAATGTCAATCAGGCATTTTCTAAAATATTCTACTAAAAGCTCAAGAAATCCAGACAACTAAGGGGAGAAAAGCAAACAAACAAACAACAACATAAAAAACCAAATATTTTTGACTGCATAGAATTTCATACGGAAATGTACAACTTCCTTCCTTTTGCTGTGGACTTGTGGCTAGGTCCTGTATGGCAGAAGTTAATCAAATGAAATTTTTCTAGTTTCTGTCCAACCAGTATGTAACACCAGAACATCATGATTCCATTTGTTTAAATTGTAACAGGTATGAAAAGCACAGTACTTTTATTCATATGCACTAGCACCTTAGCTACCACTTAGCCTAGTTGCTCCATCCTGGGAAATGCCTAATATAATTTATTGTCTCTTCAGACTTTCTAACCCTCTTTGCTTTTCTGAATTGCATATTTATTATATTCTGGAAGTTGAGAATTCTTCAACTCTTCCTTTGTCTCTCAGTCTCTAAAATCAACTGTTCCATTAGAATCTGCAGTTCAGGTTCAAGGCACTGATACTCCAGATTAATAACCCATCTCTATTGGCATGGCTCTCTTTTTGCCTGGCAATATTTAACAATTGTCACTGGAGCCTGGTGGTGCAAGTTATCCTTCAGAAACTGTTTTCATTTAGCTTTAATCCTCTTAATTAACTTGTTATCACTTTCTCATGGAAAGGCAGTATTTGACTCGGTACTAATTTACCCTCAGTGGCTTTATTATTAAAAATTCTTTACTGCTATGATACATTCAGCCCAATTGCCTGCCTTTTAATAGTTGTTTTAATTTTGGGTTAATAGGTGTTTAGCAAAACATATCCTTTCGCCCATTCTGTATTCTTACCATTGCCAAAAATCCCAAAGAAATGAGAACAAACAGGCGCTTATAAACTGCAGGAATTATCATATGGAGTCCTGACTGACACTGGAAATCAAGTTCAAGGCAAAAGCAACCTCCAAAATCTAAAATAATCTGATATTCTGTGCAATTTGCACAAGGTGTATTAGTGCAGATTCTAACAGAATTCAGAGGAGACTCATCTCCCTTAACTCCAAACACCTGCAACAGTTACAAACCTAATTGTCTAGATTCTTTTTATAATCAACGATCTTTTAGAGGCCATTTCTGGGCTATGATTCATCTGACCTACTTTAGATCTCTATTGTAGGATGAGATGAATTATGCTACAGATATCTCTAGTTCTAAAGTTAGGTGGGATGAAATGTATCATCTGTGTCTGTATTTTTTAAAAAAAAGGTCATTATATTTTAAAACAGATGAGTTACACTGTTAGTAGCCAGGGAATGAGTGGAGCAGAGAAACTGCACAAATTTTAGATTATGTGCATTACCAACACACCATCTATAAGAACCACCTAACAGGCTGATAGGTAGAGCAGAGTTGAAAAATGCTGGGAGGAAGAGAGGCAAAAGCATACACTGTTAAATCGTATGCAACTAACCTGTGGACAGACAGTGGATTTTGGTCTTTTAACTGTTCGATAAACCTAGTATTTTTGTACAAGCTTACTTTGTGGGAAAAAGGAACAAAAAACCCAACAAAGTATCTCACAGCCTAGCATAGGACTAATGAATAAGACAGATAGCAACTGAAAGACAGTCTCAAATCTAACATCATTCTGCAATAATTTTTTCTGAATCTTCTTTTAGACAAAATTACTAACATGCTGCTATTTTCTGGGATTATCCTCATTCAACAACAAATCTGAATTTACACATTAGTCTTTTGCCAGTGTTAAAATTCTTACATTCCCATGTATCCCTTTCCACAAACAATGCTCTCCTTTTAAGCTTACTATTTCCCCAATTCCACCCTCAAGTACATTTTGCTACTCACTGTTATCAATCACTATAAATTGAAGTTTTGCTGTATTCTGACTTATGTTAATATATTTTAAGAGACTTCAGCATTTTCATATCTATCTTATTAGCATTTTCTTTCCTTGGAAAGTTTAGAGCTGTAATGCTTTCCCACCTACCTGAGAGAGGTTGAACGTAGCGACAGTGCTATCATCATATAGAAGAATATTAATAGTGTCTAGCGCCCAGGTACTTTCAGCCAAAAGACCAGATTTAAGAGACATCATCACTCTCCAGGCCTCAGGAGTTACTGGAGAAAGAAAGGATAAGCATAAAACAGCATTAGTGCAACCTTTGAGCGTTGAAAACTCGGTAAGTTTTGAAAGAATAAACTGCGACATTCTGAGGATGTAAAATATATAGGAAATAGTTACTGAATAGTTACTGAAACACTGCTTAAGACCATGGTTTCACCGCTTAGTCCTGTTATGCTTTTCTGTAACTCTTACTTAGTGCTAATTCTGGAGAGCATTTTAATGGGCCATTCTTCCTGACCTTGCAGAAGAAATTATCTTACAAACTTCTGAGAATCTGGCTATAACAAACAGTACATAAATACAAGTAGAATGTAGTACAAGCCATGAATATGGGAACCTGAGGTATGGGAACTTGAATGTGTGAAATGTAACGGGAATTCAAGATAAGAAGATACTTAGGAAAGAATTTGGAGAGAAACAAAAGTGACAAATAATGTGGCCCGAAAAAATGGGCTACTCGAGTAAGGCAGACGCTGTAAGGACACAGAGCCAATAACTCTGTCGTGAGCTTCCATGGAATGAGAATGTGGTAATCTTTGCTCACCTAAATGTTGCACCGGTGATTTAACAGATATTCTGATGGATCTTTCAACAAATAGCACTTGGAAGCCCGAGACAAGCTTTATTTTTAATGTAATGTTATACTTTTTGAGAACTCAGGTCTCCATATAGAAAACTGATTTCATATAATGTTGAACTTGCTCATATAAGATTTGTCACCCACACTGATACATTTGCTACTACATTTTTAGTGAACACATAATAGTTACCAAAGTTAATTACTTGTCAAAGCAGTCTTAACATGTAAAAGAAAACAGAAACCAAAGTTCCTTTCTCCCTTTCTCCCTTCTCTTGTTTTGGCATTTGTTTTTGTACTTACCAATATCTTTTGAGGTAATCTTTCGTCTTGGTTTTAAGACTGGTTGCGATGCTTCTACGGAGCCTGGGGGGAAGGTGATTTCTCGCCTAATCGGTGGTGGTTGGGGTGGAGGTCCTGTGACCTGTGACACTGGAACTGTGGGTATAACCTTTTGCATCTTCATGGAGGGTAGGAAAGGAGACTTGCTTGGAGACATACGATTTTCCAAAGAGCGCTGGAAGGATGCTGGACTCGGAGCTCTAGAGATGTGATTTGGCATAGAGGGTGGTGTCTGGTAGGATGACTGAGGAGGCCGAGTGATAGGCTGCATGGAGGCTGAGGATGACATATAAGAAGGCTGACGTTGGTTGACATGAGAAGGCCACTGACTCTCGTGGTTTATCCTCTGGTCAGGTACCATCATATCATCAGTGCGATTCATCCCTGGATACGGTGGGGCCTGTGCAGGGCCTCCTGGACCTTGCCTATTCTGGTAAGGGTAAGGCATATCGTTTCGTGTTGGCCACATGTTCTGCTGAGGACCTTCAGTGGAGGATGATGACTGCATGGGGCCACCAATCATTTGGGGAGGTATTCCATGCTGCTGCATTTGTCCTGGGCCCTGCATCCTCTCCCTGTTATACGGATATGGATACTGTCCCTGCATAGGCCTCCTATCAGGCCCAGAGTAAGCATTGCTGTACTGGTTATACATTTCTTGTTGCTGGTTGCCATACTGCATGTTATACATATCCCCTTCATGGCGCTTGGCTGGAGGCCCATACATGCCGTCCATGTGTCGCTTGTAGTTCTGAAAAGAAAAATCAGAAATAAAATTTGTCACTTTTACTACATACACAATAATAGCGATTGGCTGCAAGCTCATTTAAAAAGCTGAAGGCTCCTAGCTCTGGAGGGCTTGTGCTGATTCCAGTCAGGCACACATTGCTGTGATCGAGGCTTTCTATTTTAGCCTCTGTTGTGCTGCATTTATAACTTAATTTGAAAAGGAAACTTATCCTTGGGCTAAATTTTTTTATGCTTGCTCTTGTGTTCCCTCCTTTCCCTTTCCTATTCTGTCTGTCAGAAGAAATTCCATTGGCCACTTAAGACATGCATGAAAAGGCAACAGTCCTCACCAACAAGATACTTTCATTCCTTTTTTATGCTCAGTCTGCTAAGAAGACAGATTTAAAAAAAAGTCAAAACTACTCAATGACTTAATCTCTTAAAGGGACAAACACTGAGTGAACTCTTAAAATAACAAGATACGTTGCAAGCATGCATGTCTGAATGCTGGATATTATGACAGTGCATAATAGACATACAATATATTTACCAATGGGAGAAAACATTCCCCTGCCTTTGTTACTCCACATAATCCTCTGAAACACACCTGCTTGGGTGACCAGCCCTCCTTCCGAAATCATCCTAAACACACTGAATTTATTGCGAGATTATTGTAGCAACTGCTCACATCGAAATGTTTTATTCTGACTTATGCAGGTTCTTACACTGCTGATCAGTAATGAATGAAGCAACATTCCCCTCTTGTTTTTCACCCTCTCAATTGGGGAATGCTGTGTGAGGTAAGCTGTTATATAGTCAGGGGAGTTGGGCTGTTTATAAATCATACACCTTGTTGGCATTTAAGACAGCAAGACAAAAAAGATGGGTTGTGTTTTGAGGAGAAAGTAAGTGGTAAAGTTTGCAGGGGTCCTTAGATCTTCAGGGAGTCTGATGCACAGTTCAAACTACCTCAAATGCTCTCAAGCAAAAAACGTTTGAATTAAATTGGCAATTTCTGAATATATGATGTGTGGTAAATTCAAAGTTATGGTTCCCATGGTATCTATATCTACATATAGATAAAATTCTGTATGTATTCTATATGGGTCAGTTAAAACAGCTCTGGGATTCATAAACTCATCTTCCAAATTTGGTGCACATAAAACTGCAACTGCTGAATTGCTTGAAAGTATATGTATTTTTAACTTGCTATAGAGCTGCCTGGCTACCTAAGAAAAACCTATTTTCAGTCTTACATAAACAACTTGCTGTGGTAAATCTCACGCTTTGGGCCAATTTATACATTAAGAACTGACTCAGTAGTTGCCACACCTAAAAAGAAGGTGCTTTTTTTGCTACAGTGATTCCACATGCTTAAAGCAGACACCCGGGAATGAAGCAAGTGCCTTTTTAAAGGCAGATCAGAGCTGTGTCTATGCAGTGGCAAGATGCTTAATGGCAACCAAGTGCTGAGGACAGTGATGCACCTCAATTCCTACTCCTGTGTGAGGGTTCAGCAGGTGACCAAGGCTGCACAATGTGTGTCTCTCCACTGGGAAAGGGGAGTTGTGAGACCTCGCAGAAGAAAAAAATACGCTAACACTGGTAACCTGCCGTGTAACAACTCTCAGCCGGTAAGCATTCATACAAGAACTGAAAAACCGGCTCAAAGTACTTTGCTAGCCCCAGGGGTTCATGCACAAAGCACCTTCTTCCCTGCCATTCCCTAGCCTTCAGGCTATGGATAAAACTCTGAAAGGGTTATTTTTCACATTCTTCTTGAACCTAGGAAATTGAAAGAATATTGCGGGAGCAACCTGGTCTTTAGCTAGGTCAAAAAGGGGAATGCTCCGGGTGTGGGAGCCCCCTCTGGGGGGGGGGGCAAGGTCAGGATTCTCACCCTTCACTCTTCTATGTTTTTTTGCATTCGTGCTTGAATGCATTATGCATTCAAGAGCCATTATACAAAGCATATAAACAGCAGCAGAGACAGGGCCCAATGTATCCTTTCACAAATTCTGGTTGAATCTTTGCTTTAACAAATTAGTTCACATACAACCTACATATTTTAGCATGGAGTATCACTAACTCTTCTATTATGCATCTTTGCAATTTCCCCACTAAATCACCTTGGCTGCTCATACATGTTCACAATAAAGAGCAACAAAAGGTTTTTGATTACACTATTTCAGAGATTCTATGAACTAAAGAGATAGGCAAGAAACCAAACTTTGTAAACATTTATAGTACAATGTAACCTAAGATCTCCATTTTTTTTCCTTTTTATTTTTTTTAAGTCTGAATTTCCTAGTGAATCATAGTATCACCAAGCTTGGGAAAGGCCCCTAAGATCATCCACAGTCCAACCATCCTCCTTGTCACCAATTTTCCACTAAACCACACCCCTCAGTACAACATCTAAACATTTCTTGAACACCTCCAGGGGTGGTGATTCCACCAGCTCCCCGGGCAGTCCATTCCAGCAGCTGACCACTGGCTCAGAGAAGTGAAACATTAACCCAGACAGAAAAGGACTACCTGTAAGTAGCTGAAAACAAGTGCATTTTGATAACTGTATCACAAGGAAATGCTTTCTATTTTGGAAGCTAGCTGTAATTATTCTGTGACTAGAACTGACTTCATAACATGCAGAATGAAACTAAAACCTTGTTGAAGTCATCAGAGTTTTGTCATTAACTTACAAGATATTATTTTGCCCACAAAGCAGTAATGATACATCTTACAAAAACCTTAATTATTAGTATCATTTGTATTTACAAAGATTTTATAAACAGAGATTGAAATGTAGAAATGTTTAAACTATTATTAACACTAAAACATTTTTCTTGTGTATTTGTAACATATTACTAGAGACAAGATACAGGGAAAATGCCATCTGCTATATATTAAAGATACGTAACTCAGGTGACCCACCACAGCATTCTAAGTAACTGGCAGTACTGCATGTTTTACTGTTCTAGTTTTCTGTTGGTTCACTTGGCTACTTGACATAATTTGAGTCAATCTGCCAGTCAAGCAATACTTTCCAATTTGCCTCTGAAAGTGAGGCAGCATCACTCCACTAGCCTATTAATTATACTTTCCCACTCTGCTGATCATTAGCTTGGGACATTCACTTGATACACATTCAAAGCCACAAAACTTCTAGAACTTCTGTTAAAATTTATGCCCTTTCAGGTGTAAAGAAATAATCTCCTATAGCTGTATATGTGCTGCTTATCCTTATGGGTTGTGATTCTGACCTGAACTACAGTGCTCCTCTGTGCCAAAAGACATACATTCCATCAACAAAGTTTTGAGTGTACACAGAATTTTTGAGCGGCATTTATTAAAAAAATATTATGAATGTAGCTGTTTTCCCTTCTCCTACCTGCTGCTGTGGATACATTCCAGGTTGATGTCCTCCATACGGTGGCTGTCCTGAGGGAGGTCCTTGTCCTGGATACTGCTGCCCATACGGTTCATGCCTAAAACGAAGCATTCAAATCAACACTTAGAGCTGCTGGAGTTTTTAAGATACCAGAGAAAGGACACTGCTCTCATGATCTTGCACCTTGAAGACACTTGTCATTTGGAATCGTGGTGAAGACATGGTGTGGGATGGTCCAGAGACTAATACAGTAAGCTCTGCTGGAGCAGTGGAAGGAGGAAAGCAAAGCAGATAGAAGGAAAGAAGCAATGAAGATGCAGGGGAGAGATTTAGGAGTAGTGTTAGAAATGGGAATAGTGTACGGTCAGCAAAGAGGTAAGAAAGGCAGCTCCAGTGACACTAGGAACCAGTCATAGCAGGATAAATTCCTGATGTATATAGCTCAAAGGTTGAGCATGTCAAGATTCTTGTTTTTTACAGCACAGGTTTCCAAGAAGACTACTTTCTGGATTAAGAATGTAATAAATATATAGGTATATAGGTTAAGTACTCAATCAATACCTAACTGCTAATTTGAAGAGAAATTCTAAGATTCTAAATGGTGATATGTGCTATGGTATGTAGCATTTAAACACATCTTTACTGAGTAAAAACAGTGCTCTTACAATTTTGTAATCAATCATGTACAGTCATGTAATTTTTAACTAAAGCTACATAATGTCACATACACAAGAGTCAGAGCTGAGTTGCACTTGGAAACTTACCTGTGGCCTCTTATGACCTCTGAGGGGCACTGCAGTGCAACTGCAGTATTTTTAGCACATCTGAATGAAATTTTGTTTGTGGAAATGAAGTACTTGGAAAGTATTAAGACTAAAACATTAACACTGTCTTGCAGACCAGTACATGAGTAATTACACTCTGTACATAACCATTAAGAACTTACCTATTTGAGTATAAGAATGGGAATAATATATCACAGTCTGAGAAACAAAACAGGATTAGAGAACCTGATGTGTTAAATGAACTGATGAGACATGGCTTTTTCAAAAGCAGAGAAAATACATGTATTTTTATGCCTTGATGAGAGTAAAGCAATAGTTTTTCAGTATCTCCTAAAACGTTGATGCAGATGAAAATACCAGTTAAACGAACCATATAACCAACAGGAATTGCTTACACTCATCCAAGATTGGATGTATAATTAGATGAAACTGGGCTAAGGTACATGTACTATATATATATACAAGGAAACTTTCTGAATGTTAGTTTGGTTAGGTACAGGATAACCACAATCCAAAAGAAACTGTGGAAGCTTCAGAATACGTGTCATTCAATGCTGCCCTGAAGAACTTTGGCCTGTACATTCAGTTCAGTGTTGGCAAGGAGATACACAAGGCAGTATGCATGCTCCTTTTTTAACATCTATGATTCTATAGCTACACAAAGTCAACCAATTTTCCCAATCCTCTGTTACACTCCAGAAACTGAACCGATGGTAAAAACCTAAATCAGAGCAGGCAAAGCATAAGCAACACCAAGAAGTTGCATATTCTATGTGCCCTCATAGAGTCTGCTAGCACTCATTAGCTGGTTATTGAAGATATTACAAACAGAGAAATCAATGTTCACCTTTGCTGGCCAGGGTAACGATTAGGAGAGTACATGCTTGGGTCACTGTTTGAAGGCACCATGTTGCTTTGACCAGGTGGTCCCATACTGCCTTCAGGACCCAGCCCATGATCCGACCTAAAAAATGACAAAGGAAACCCCATTCTGTAAAAAGTACTTATTCTCCAAAATCATATCCCTTAAAGAAAATATTCTCTTGACTTATCATCTTCCACTTTAATCAGACTTCCCAGCACATGACCTGTTGAGCAGCATTACAGTTGTGTTACTCCACACACCTACTACTTCAAACTATGAGAAAAAACTCATTTTTCCTCATTGTTCCTCTGCTGCACTTGAAAGACTCACACTGCGTAACTTTGGCTGCCACAAGGAAACAAAAAGGGAAGCTAGGGTACACAAGCTAATGAAAGTAAAAGTGGGAACATTGCCAGAGCTGCAAAAGCTACTCTAATACTTAATATAATCCAAACATTCTCCAACATCTCTGCTTGCTATAACAGTGTTCAGTTGTCAGATGTTTCATTCTTTCTTTTTTTTTTTTTTTTTTATTATTCCAAAGGCTTTCCTGGGATAAACAAAGAGAACCAAATTTATTTTTGCTTACTTCACTGAAAGCAAACTTATGAGGGTCCTGACAGATACACTGAAATACTACTGCCCCTCAGACAACAGACTCCAGAATCTCTAAAGACAATTCACTAACAGACCACAAACCAAACACAGGCTGTGCATTTTGTTTTTCAGAAAAAGCCCACCAACAACTGTTTAGGTGAAAACATGGCAAGAATACTCAAGTGCTACTTTCTGCCATCACAGCCCAACACAACAGCCAGCTGAAGGCAGCTGTCAAACATATCCACTTGCTGATCTGCTGCAGCTTGAGTGATTTAGAAAGTTTAACAATTCCTCCTCATTAATTCCTGTGAACAGCTAGATGCAGTCATTACCAACGGTTTAACTTCCAGTGACTTAGTACAATGCTGTAGGAAATACAGGCTGCCACGTTCTCTGCAATGTGAGATGGGAAAATGAGAGGGGAGATGATGGCTTTCACTAACAGTCTTTGCTTTTTCCTGAAGAAAAACTCACCTCCTGTCATAGCCACTTCCATAAGAGAACTGCTGTCGCTGGCTCATGCTCATGTTGGACATGGCTCCAGATGGGTTCTGGTTATACATTTCCTGTATTCCACTGTTAGGCATTTGTCCAGGGGTCATGAAAGGCTCGTTGCTTCCAGGCACTACAACAGTAAAGGAAATTAAATATATTATTCTGGGGGTTTGAAGATATCTTTCTATTAAATGATATATTTTAAAATAATGTTCAGATTTCTAACACTGCCAAGGAGAATTAGCTGGTGTCTGACAAGCTCTCCAGGGCCTGATGAAAACTCATGAAGTACTACCACTACTAAGATGATGGTTATAATAATATATAGGAGCTGCAAGTAAAGAGAATAATCTTATCATACCAAACCAAGCTCATCAGGCACTGAGGCAGCTTCTTCCCTGAGGTCTTTATAGCTGAAGATGAACTTGCTCTTGCTCTTTTCACCCCCAAGAATGCTAAATACGAATTCAAACATAAACCTTACAGAACAGATAAATCTCATAGTTTGGATTATAAAGCTGCAGGAATCAGGCTCTTCTTTTTTCCTATAAAGCACTCATATATATATATATATAGACTTGCTTACAGAAAGGCTATTGTATCCTAAAGTAGCTTCTTGAGCAGGATGGGTATATTCTAAAGGTCCAAGAAAAGGCACATGTAGTACTATATTTCATATAAATCCCCAAAACAGACAGAGGAAGTGACTCTATCCTTTAGTCCTTTCTTGTAGATACTAAACAGACAGACATTTCTGTTTTGACTAAAGGTAAATATGATACGTATGACAAAGTGCAATAAACCCACTTAATCTCATGTGGATACAATAATTAAAATTAATCTAAGACAGAGAGACCTTCCTCTTATTCCAAATGTGTTTTACTAGTGACTACAGTTCAGGTAACAAAATTTAAAGGAAAAGTTTGAAAAAATTGTATCAGGATAGCTAGCTATCTCCTCACTGCAACACATATGAGGCACCTTGATCTTGGTAAGTCCCTTCCAACTGAACTGTTATAGTCTAGTCTAGTCTAGTTTGGTCTGGTCTGGTTCCCTCTTTCTTTGATTTCTGGACCTCTTCTTCCTGTTTCTCCCTTTTGCTCTCCTTCAATTTCCACTTCTTAATTCCACCTCCTTCATCTGCTCTTCTCTTTGCAGCCAGTGTGAGTCCTACTTATATTCTGACTTCCCACTTTCCTACGTACATGGTATACAAGACGGATTCACTTTAAGCACATTTTACAATATCCACACAAGCATCTGTAAGTTAATTGCCCCAAGGGACAAGAGTCAGGCTTGACATCAGTTTTGGTTTTTGCTTTCTAAAAATAGCGTGTTTATCACCTCTTGTCAGGGGTTGTCCAAATGAGAACAGAGTTAGTTTTCCTATGCTGAAAAATATGTAAATTACGACAGCATTAGGAGATTTGCTCAGTTGCACACAGTGTCCAGCTGTACCACAATCAGGTCTATTTCTTCACAGCTGCTTCTTCTAGCATCGAAGTCCAGCATTTGATATGCAGAGTTGCTACCCACATTCATAAAGCATACTGTATTGCATAAAATCCATCCCTAGGAATTTATGCCATCGTTCCTGAAATTTGTTCCTATAAGCAGGTTTAGGAAACAGTTAAGTTTAAAATACACAGCATGACCCTGAGAAGGGAAAATATGATCAGAATTGAACAATTGCACTGGATCTGCCTTTCTGCTACAAGAATGTAGCTGTTTTTGCAGCAAGAATTCCACTGTTTTGCCAACAGCAGAATCAGCTGGACATGCAGCTCATTCTGATGACTAGAGTGCCGTGATAACATTTATGTGAGTAGGGAAGAAGACGCCACAAAGAAAATACCTTTTCTCATTCCACCAAAAGGATCTTTATTCGGCTCGTATGGCATCCTTCCCATCATATCTGGCATGTTTATTCCCTGCTGGTACGGTGCATTTGGTGTCATGGAGTTTCGCTTCGGGAATGCTGAATCACTTACATCAGAAAAGGGATCATGCACACTAACCGCGCTGTTTCTAGCGGATGAGAAGAAGGAGGCATTAACATCATCGTGTATTCATAAGAAATGTGAAAACAGACCAGCCTACAAAACACTGCTGCATTTGTCAGTGATCACCACAGGATACATCTGAGGAAGAAGCAAACAACTTTCACAATCATTAAAAAATCTTTTTTTTCTCCAAGCTTATCTGGATACTTACCTGAATGACAGGGGTTTTTCACCTAACTATGCATGTTCCTATTAGCCATGTAGAAGTCTAAACTTTTCTGAAATTTCACAAAGCTGTGTTCCTCACAAACACACAAGCTTCATATGCTGCGTCAAATTAGTATTATTTTTTATCTGTTTCATATATTCCTCCTAAAGACTAAACAGCTACTTGATTTACCTTCCTAATATCATTTCTGAAAGGGATCTCTTGGTCCATCCAGCTGAATCCTCTGTTATCTTACTGTTACTATAATACTTTTTTGATAATACTCTGAATCTGTGCACCCAGGAAGGAAAGCTATATATACAAGGTTCTAAGATGCTGCTACTGGTTTCAACCTCCCACCCCAATCTTCACATATTCACACGCTCTAGCTTGCACTACTGCTTGTTTGATCCTTCTCTGCTAATGCAGATCCTAATCCTTCCTCCCTTTCCTTCTCTTCCCTCCAGAAAGAGATGTTTTTTTGCCACTCCTAAGGTTGGGTTGGCTCAACACAGAATCAGATGTGTGCCTGTATAGTTGAGAAAAACTAACTTTAACTGCTATAGAATAACAGCATAAGAGAAAATGAAGCAAAGCCTATTTCATACCTGCCACCCTGCATAGGTGTCATCTGTCCATGAGGTGTTGATGCTGGTGTTGGAGGCTTCAAATCGCCTGGCACTTCTGTCATGGAATTACTGCCAGTAGACTGTGGAGTCTGGGGGCCTTGCAAGGAACCAGAATTAGCTGGAAGATTAAAGAAAAGGAAATATTAGAAGGTAGTAACCAAATTATTGCAGAAATAATAATAATCAGTGAGAGAAACTGGTTGTTTCCCTCATCGGCCTGCTTATACCATGCATCTCTACTTTGTAACTTCCATAAAATCCTCTGAGACCAGGATACGCTATGAGGTAATAGCCATCATCTTTCCTAGAACCACAAATTTAAATCGCTGCCTAAAGCAACATGAATAGAAATCATCTAGATGAAGGATCATTTAAATTAGAGGTCAGAGGTACAAAGTTAATTGTCTATAGTTTACAACAGAGTAGATGAAAGCTGTTCTTCGGCACAGCTTCTTTATATATATGATCACTACCACAACACAGATATTTATAAAGCAAATTTCAACCAGAAGCTTCTTCTACAAATTTAAACCACTGTATTAATATAAGAACGTAATCTATTTTACTACTAAAAGGCAGGCATTTCTGAGATGAAACATGGCTAATAGTTAGGGGCACACTGCAACCCTATGCCATCTTTGAGACAATGTGGCAAAAGATTGAATTCAAGAAATTTAGAGGGCCATTAGTGGGTAAGAAGAAAGCATAACATCGTAAAAATAGCAATGGGCAACTTAACAAAATGCAGCTAGGATCACTGTAGAGCATGTGTAACAAGATCAGGTCAATTCTGCAAAAATTTTTATGCTGAGATCTCAGACAGCAGTAGAGTACATGCACTACTGGCCTCCTTAACCATGGCGAACAGCATCACAGAATATCCCAAGCTGGAAATAGCTACATTTTTGATGTGACGATAAATGGAGAGAAGCATGTAATGTTCTACTCTAAAGAGACTGAGCAGTAATAAGGACATTAAATGAATATATCACATAAGCTAATAATAAATTACATTCAGAACAGTCTTTTAAACTAGACAGTGCAGTTTCTATTTTCATACAAATACTGAGAAAGTCCTCCTCCAACATATGATGTGGCATTTTTTCTGATTTAGAAGGTGATAGATGGGCATCAGTAACAGTGCCTAAGCTTTGTATCAGACTGCAATGTCTACTTTGGTGTTTGAAGCAGGAATTCTTCCCAAGAAAGTGTAGGATCAAGTCTTTGGATGCTATTTTCAAACAGAAAAAATCACAAACCTAATAAACCTAGAAAGACATGGCAATGGCTTGAGAGGTGTTTTTGATTCTACAAACCTTCATGCGAGCATTTTTAAGTGCCTGACTATTGTCATCCAACAACTAATTAACAAAACTTTATAAATTACTGTTAGAGGAAAAACTGGAAGCAGCAGCATATGCTGTTCTTCTCTATGTGAAAGAGAGAGTAGTTTATAATTGACTCAGAATCCTAGAACACACATCACCCTGACAGGCAGAGCTTGTTTTTAACTGAAGAACACCCTTTTTATGTGTTTCATTTATATCTGTAACACATGTTCCACTATTGGAAATCAGTCTCAGTAGCAAGAGCATACGTAAAATGCACATTTTGTAGACCATGTTGCTCCTGTCCTCACCTTTATAAGGTGTGTTTGGATTATATTCACCTTGTAATGAAGTTCAAAAAAACGTCAAGAAAAGCTCTCTGATAGCATTAATACAGTTACCACAACGTGCAACAGTTAATGCTACAGCTGACTGAGGGCTTTAGTGCCGTAATAAAATATATATGTAAAATAATAAAGAAAATCATCATGTTCATGTAAAATGAGTCTTTTGTATATAAGACCCCTGGGTGAGACAGGATCATTTTCCTGCCTTTTTGTATTCTAAGGTCTGCTGCACTTTAAACACAATGCTAGATTACATCTAAAAACCTTGAAAGCATTTCTGAGTTGTCACACGCCATCATCTTGTTATATCAGAACCATGTAAGCAAACATCTTACTTTACCCATATACTCACAGTAAAAAATGATATTGCATCACCCTGCACATTTCTCTGATGATTGGCTTTTAAGCAGCAATTAAGTTCTTCCCTATTCTACCTGAGTAAAGAAATTAATTCATATCTAAAATAAATCTAAATAAAACAAGTAAAATACTTTTCACTATTAATGGGCTGCATAAATATTCAGAATCTTTCTTACACATAACATTATTTTTAGATGCCTTTTTTACAAGGAAAGTTTTAAGAACGAAAAGAAGATATCCAACTGAGAACCTGCAAACTACATTTCTATCTGCTTGGTGGTAGTTATAGTTGTTCCCCACCACCCTGACACTTTTCTAAATGACTGCTAACAAACATACGAAAAATCGAAGGCAAATACTATTTATAAAAAGTGCAAAGTTTCTGGTACTGTTTAGTTAATGAACTTTGCTCTAGGCCTTTGCTGGGTGAGGCACACTCCTATAGAGAAGGGACTGCAAATGTGTCAACCTCTGGATTAGGTCATTAGCCACCAAGAAGAGCTCAAGTGTGGATATATATATCTATCCATGTCATATGCTCATAGCTCACTGAGTAGTTAATTCCAATATTAGTGTCAGTGGAAAAAGCACATCCTTGAGGAAGAATAATCTAAGTGCATACTTGAAATGTTTACTACTGGTAGAGCAGATATAATTTTTAAGTAACATAACTCTTTTCCTTGTAGGATGTCATTTTCAGTTACTTAAAGCTTTGCAGTGTTTCAGCCAATCACAAGGAAGTTAACCAGATGGATCTTCTCAAGCTCTTTTTTTTTTTTTCTTGGTCCTCTAAAAAAATTCTACACAGTACCGGGCATACGAGTAAAATCAAACTTTTTACAAGAGTTCTTAGATGTGTGGTCCTTCTTCAGAGAGTCTGAAATGCTGATTTGTGTCTGGGCAGAACAGGAGAGATCATACAAAGGGCAATACATGGCAAAACTTAGAAAACTGTCACTCAGAATGATATTCATGACCTAAATGTCTTGGTGGTTTTTCTTGGTTTTTCTTATCTATAGAATGGGAATCACGCTCCTTTTTCTCTTCAGTTGCTACTGCAAAGGCTGATTAATTATTTTATAGACTTCATATGCAGTTGTAATGAAGACCAAGAGAAAAAAACAAGGAGTGAAGTTATAGTTCTCTGTTTGAGTCTGATTGAAGACAGTGGCACAAATAGAGGTAGGTCATCAGTGAGAACTGAAGCCCTACACGCCGTTCACTCAGAGACAGAATCACAGCACTGCTTGTTTTTTTCCTTGCAAAGCCTACATGGCAGTGCGGGCTGCTTTCAGGAAAGACCCTTTATTTACCAGAACAGAAACACGCAGATTAAAAAAAAACAAACCCAAACATTAAAAGAAGCATTTTCTTGCCAGCAATTTTTTCCCTCTAGGAAAAAAAAGGAAAAACCCAGCAACCTCTTGAAACGCCATTAATATGAGGCCTGACATGCTCTCTAGGATATGCCTACCTTTTGCCAGAAGCTACAAACGTATACTCTAAAGTAAACAATGGAAAGGTTACTGAGGGTTAAGCACATTCACACACTCCAGCCCAGCAGCCAGCCGCCACGCTGGGAGGGTAATTTACACGGCACAAACCCAGTGCCCCACTCTGGCCGGCTGGGGGCATCGGCTATGGCAGAGTCCCTCCTGGTGGGAGTGGGGTGCCTCTGCCTGCCCCCCTCCTCCAAGCCCTCACCCATCCATCTTCCGTGGGGATTCCCTGGCTGGCCTCACCGCTCGCATGACATCACCTGTCTGCTAAGAATAGCACTTCAGTCAGTCAGCCAAGACGGACGGGTTTGGTTACAGAGGCACCCATTAAAAGGCTGTGGAGTGCCGCATCCCCGCTGTCCCCTCCCCAAGTCTTGTTTCTCTGCTGCCAAGGAAACGCTCCCTTGCTCTCCTCCCAGAACATGCACATGTTCTTCAGGTCTATTGTGACTCAGCCTCTGCTGATCCAGCAGCTCTGTGTTACTCAGGAGCATCCCTCCTCCCAGCTGTGCCTCAGAACCTATCCCACTCCTTTGGCACAGGGTAAATACCTCAGTCTGCATTTTTCAGAGTCACACAAACTGCACAATGCAGCCAAAAATTCACAGAGCATTTGCTGCTGATAGTAGTGATGGGAAATCCCAACCATCGTGTTACAAGAAAATGGACTAACACACGAACCCAGACCACTGCATCACAGTCCCCTAAGTTCAACTTGCACATCACATCTTTCCCTTGAGGGGTGGGTCCTCCTGCTGGCACCTGCCTGCTCCAGTTGTCATGCTATATTTCTAGCGTGCGCACTACAATGCCCCAAGAGTCACCTCTGAGGCAGCCACACAGCCACCCTTTGGATGAGGGACATCCACAAGAACCAACTTGCTCTGACCCTGTGCTTCTGCTTGTACCTTCCCGAGCATCTACACTAAACAGGAACTCGATTCTCCTCCATACCAAGAAGGTTGGCACAGAGCAGTTAAAATATTTATTTTCAGAAATTTTATGAAGATCAGCTGGTTTTTAAACTCTTGTGACCCAGATCTTGTAGCATCAGCTGTAGAACTGGACAAAATACTACAGCCCCTCTCTGAGACAAGCCTCCCTGCTTTTTTTTTTTTTTTTTTTTTTTTTACCAAAATTCCCAAAGCAGTAACACTGCCACTAGCTCTCTGCACAAGGATTTGGCTTCAAAGCTGTTTTGCCTATGCTGAGCTAGCTGCACAACAGAGGTGAATGGTTAAAGCGAGGACCCTCTGAGGCTACTGTTTCTTGTTGTATTGGGCTCCTGTTTCCTCTGAATGCCCAAGAGTAACAGATTATCTAAAATACATCCACAACTCTACTTCTTTTGTGCAGCTAATGTTGGCATATACCGAAGAAAAAGGAGCAAGAAAAAAAGCTGAGTATTAGAGAGAACAGGCCTGTACTCTCTGCAGCGTCTATACCTCAGCGGGATTTCATGTACTGAAGCTGAAACACACTGGGAAAGCCTTTCTCTGTAGAGAAGTGCAGTCCATTCAGTGACACGAGTTCTTTTCTAGCCAACAAAACAAATCTTGAGATCTTTGCTTGCTTCCTCCTCTACTAGTCTCTATGTCCTGCTGTGTCTTTATTTTAGAAAAATAGTTTCAGTTCCCCTCACAGACGGCTTCCTTGAATGTTATGATAAATTTAAACTTGGACTTTGTCATTTCCATCTGCAGTGCCCTGATACAAAGGACTCAGTAAAATGGTACATCTGGTATTTCTTTGTTTCCTGCCTATGTATTTAAATAAGGATTCTTTAGCTCAAACTTCAGCTGATTCACAGCGATTGTCCCTGAACAAACTGCTGAGAGCAGTGCTGGAGGGGGATGGGCAAGGGAGGATACCGCAAAGCACAACATCCTTTCATTTTCAGTACTGCTGCTGCTTCTAAAACTGCTGTTTTAGAAAGAGATGAACTTCCTCATCACCCTCCTTTGTAAGCCTGAACAGTTTCTTGCCCCTTAACTGTCTCGTCAGGAATGACAGGTAAACACAACACCTTTTAATTTTTGCACTGGGAAATATTCTAGACATACATGCTCATTTCAGATCACTAAACATTCGGACTACAGGTTTCACTTTTTGTGCTGAGTGTATTTCTCCATCTTCTGAACTCGCCTTACAAAGTCATCTACTTATCTTATGTGTTAGGCAATCAGCACTGGGGTACCTGATAAGTCTAAATGCTAATGGGGGAGAGGAATTATTTAAGGATTTACACAAGGAAATGTAGCTAGGAAGATTTTAACACTTTCCCAAATCCTCATGCTGAAAAACACACAAAAAGATCTAAGCTTTATCACCTTTATCTTCTTCTGTAAAGGACAAAGCACTATCATACGAAATGGCCAAAGCTTTTTTACCTGATAAGGGTTTTTGAATTTTCTGGAACCCACAATAGGAAATCTCAAAGTAGTATAATACAGCCTGCAAATCCCTTGAGAGGTTGCTGGGTCCCTGACTCTCAACTTCCTATTTTCTGCCAGTGAAGTGAAATAACAGAAGTTATTAAATACTTTTCTGTTATTGCCTTTCACAGGGAACTGCTGTAAACATTCCAGGAATTACGTTCTCTTGGCATTAACACAAGGTGATCTGCCTAACAGTACTTGTGAAGGTAAGTATTAGCAGAATTATTCTGATGCTCAGAAAAGTCTAATAACCAGCAAATCAAAGGAAAATTTTCCTCTTCCACGGGCAGTCCAGATGTCAGTGTAATAGAATAATACCTACTACACCTTTTCGTAAGTGCTTAAATTTGTCACTGCTAAAGATTTTCCCTTGAATATCAGTCATGACTATCAAATCTTTTGAGTCTTAAATTAAATTAATTTAGGAAGAAAACTGTGTGGTTCCAAACACCACACTGTACACATAAAGATCAGCCAAAATTAATCATTTCCAGTTTTGATTTTTCAGAGAAGATGAAAATGGTAATGCTAACAACTTATCTGGCATACAGGATTAACAACAATAGAATAAAGAGCGTGTGTGCCTCCAGACTACAATGTCTGGCGGTGGGGATACACCATGCTCTCAGCTCTCTCCATCTGCCATACATTCAACATGAGCCACATCAGAGCAACCATCTGAGATCCACTCATTAGCCCAGCACCTGCCATCCTGCCTCCAACTGAAGTTGTACTGAACAACAGCCATGCTGAAAACGCAGCTTCAGAGTCGTGGTAATCAGTGTGCAGGCAAGAGGATCTCATCTTTAGACAAATGGACAATCCTAGCGTTGGCTGCCTCACATCACACAGCACAAGCACATCCTTGCACAATTCTTTCATTTTGTCTAAAACAACGTAACTCTGAATCTTAAGGGTATGCTGGCAGAAACATCTTGAGCAGCGATATAACTGGGTCACATATCTAATCTGACTCAGTTCAGGAACCAGATCAAGTTTAAAAACAATGTACTTATTCTCACGGTTTGTCTAATATTAGCAAGACATGTTTCTAAAGATATAAACGGCAACCCAGTGAGTATCTTCTGCGTTTAAAAAATGGTTGTGTAAGAGGCTGCATTTTTTTTTGCTTACCAGGAGATGGCGGCTGAATCTTAGGTTGTTTCTTAGTATCTCCAGTGCTGAAGACTTCTGGAGGGGGCTCCTCCCCTCGCTCTATCTTGCACTCGAAGGCAAACAGGTACTGAATGTACTGTTTTTTCAGGGAGCTGGCTGCACTGCTCGAAGTGCCAACGTTCAATGTTGTTGCAAGCTCGCGCCACTTCTTGTTTTTATTAACCTAGCAAAATAAATGACAGAATCATTGGTTTGCAGCAAAGTGGTTTGTTTAAAAGTCAGGAGAAAAAAAAAAAAAAAGTTAAAAAAATAAAGTACTTAACGTCTTGGTTTACTTTTTTTATTTTTCTCTTCTAACTAATGCTCATTACGCCCACACGCAGTAATGCATAGACAGCATTTACAGTTATAAAACCATTAAGGAACCTGCTGATAGCTACATAAAAAGCTTTGTTCAAAGTCTTCTGCATGGTGCATCTTTTAAATGCCTTGCACTCTTCCAGGGCCTCTGCTCTTCAGTTAGCAATTTATCTCCAAGCAAATGCACACTCACTCTCACTCTGACACCCACCCACACCCACCCCATTCTAATTAAAAAGCAGCTTCTGAAAACTAATTTAAAAAGCAATAACAGCATTATTCTGCAATTTAAGCGTTTGAGCACTGATATGAAAAATATTTTTTTCTCCAGAATAGCCACCAGCTGTCAGACAGTTTAGCCTATAATTCCTGGTTTGAGTCCTTTCACTTCACAGCATCTTGCAGGGACAGATCAATGATCCTTTGGCTAGATGAGATGCAGAGCGGAGTGAGGCCCTTTAATTAATTATGGCAGACTTCAAACACACAGGGCTAGTCCAGCAGCACCCTGTACTGCAATGCTGACTGCACAACTCTGCTGTGAGTCTTGTTTGCAATACAAGGCTGAGAATATCCAAAGATTCTCTTCCTGAATTCCTCAAACACACAGCTGATCTGTAGTACCAGCTTAGTTCATTTGTCATCTTGGATGATGCCACTGGCTCACGCACCTATATCAGGCAGAGTATTGTTTTTGCTGTATAATCTGATGCCCTAAAGTTCATTCAACCACTTGTGCAATTGTTAGGTATGGTCCAAGGATGGGAGGGAGCATGACATAAATGGGCTTTGAGCATCTGGGCCTTTGTTGAGGAAAAATCCTGATTCTTGCATGCCATGATGCTTTGTACTTGTCCCGAGGCCTGAGATTCTATGATTCCAACTCAATTTCGCTAGCCATAAAGGTTATCATTAGCCATACTGTTCCTACGCCCTTCTGACAGCAAAAGAAATATTTCTTAGATTTCTCTCTGTGTTTAATAACATCAATACTGCTGCCAGACTTCTGGGGATAGCAGGCAGATTTGCATGGCTATGCAAAGTGTTTTTATTTCTCTGGTAGATCCCCCAAGAACCCAAGAGTTAAAGAAGATATTTTCCATAAATTGCCCCTGCCGAGGCTTGAAACCCAGCTACACAGCCCTTTGTGCCTACTGACGTACAGCTAAGCGGTACATAATGAACACATTGCATAATGCAAACAGAAATATTCATGCCTAAATGCCCACTATATTGGCATTTAAAAGAAGGCTGCCAACAGCTGGTCTGCTCATATTGGGATCCCATCAAAAGCACGTATTCGGAGAGCACGTACTGCTGCTGCACAGCGACGTTCCCTGTCACTCTCTGGGCAGAATCAGGAGATGTGCAGTGTAGCAGCTGGAGTAACAACTTTTTAGGAGAGCGTCACTCAGATGCATTTAAATAAATCTCATCAAGCAAAGCACTTTCCCTCACAGTAGGCCCAAACAGATAAACATGGTGATCATTCATGTGGGCATACAGCAAAACCAAGAGCCCTTACTTTCAGTGTCAATTCTTATCAGTTCTGTAGCACACAATTTTGTAACTCAAGATCCTTCAAAAATCAGTGTAAGTGAACAGCATCTACTCTTTGGCAGTGCATAATGTCTTTCATTGCAAATTAACACCGAGTGCCCCCAAATAAAATAAATTTCCATGTGATAAGCAAACACCAACAACTCTCTAGAACATCCCATTTGTCCCCCCTGCTTTATTTTTCATTCTAAGAGTCATGCTGTGGGCACAATCATGGTGTATGAGGCAGAGCAGCTGCATGATACGATTTACCTGTAATAAAGTTTCTCGGCTAAAAGTAATCAAATCTTTATGATGCTGGGGGGCATGAGCTGATCACTAAAAATGTCAGGATACCATCTCTTGCCCATATATAGCATTTAACAACAGGCAAGGTGAAGTGTATTAGGTTTCTCTGCCTTCCTCTAATAACAGGAATTGCTAACATTTCTGGACTTGGGTCAGTGATTTAATTCAGCAGTCAAGTCCTGTGTTGTGAAGCGTACTATTAATAACAGCAGTGATAATGGTACTAATTAATGTTGGAAGTTTCTTTCTTGAGCTAACCAGATAGATCATTAAAATGTGCTCATTTTCTAAGGAGCTAATTTGACTTACTACATTTTTGAGATAATATTTTCTAATTATTGTAATATGATATGTATTTAAATATTAAATACTGCATAAACATCTATCTATACCCCTATCCTTAAGCCCTTGTCTTGCAAATATGCACAAATGCTCTTGAATTCACAGAAAATAAGGATCTCAGCATTTCACAGTAGCTTCTAGCACCTGGCCAGACTGACCCTGTAGATGAAAAGGATGCTTTGTAAGCATTAGGAAAGGAGAACTAATGTCAAATACAAAATCTAACTTTGCAAATACTGACGATTTACTAACTTTTGATATTGGTAGACAAAGGAACACGCAGTTTTGCTCTGTGGAGGTCAGTCATACAGAACCCTATGTATGTTATTTCCATGCACTCCTTTGCTAAAGTTCCAGCTGACTGTGAATACAAAAATGAAAGCTTCTTCCATCTGTGGCATAACAAATATGCTCAGGAAGAATAAGGCCACAGATATTGCACATTCTCTATTCTAATATAGCACTTTTTTATTCTCAGCTCTTCCTACTTTCATTTCCCTTCTTCACAACTAAGAAATTCATCTTTTCTTTGTAATGATTATGTTTGCATTGCAAACCAAAATATCCTGTAAACGTTTTCCAAAGACAGGAAAAGCACAGTCTGTGACACAAGTCTATCACAAGTGCACTGTATAGAGACAATTGGAAAACAAGGAGAATTGGAGATGAAGCAGACTGTTTTTAAGAATAAATCTACCACTTTTCTGGAGAAATGAACTGATTTGTCCCAGAGGCAGTACATCTGTCTGGGAAGGATGGATTTCCAAATCTCTTTTCTTTCAGATACTTCCTTTCAGTTCTGTCATCTGCTTTTACAGGTGAATTTGATGCAATGGCCTTTTCCTCTCCCCTTCTCTTAGCAGCATTACTGGAATACTGTGAATATGCAACAACAATGAACTGTCTACAGCAATGATCAATTTTCTTTCAAACTGTAGACTTTTAGAGCAGTCACGTAGCCCAAGATGACTTCCAGACAAACATAAAAGCATAAATATGATCAAACTCTACTTAATTCTGTTTTCAGGGCTGTAAATGCAATTGCGTCTAGAAAATGGTGTGCTGACTTCTCCAAAGCTTTGCTGTGAGGCACCTCTCACCTGCGCTAAACCTCCAATCTCTTTGACGCAGACATACAGCCTGAACAGGTCCAAGGGCTTCTTGCCCACAGCTGGCAGACTGGCCACAGGGGTGCCCCTCTCCTCCATGAAGGTGAGATACCGGTCTACCCACATCTTGCGCTCTGGTTCATTGCCAAGTTCATAGACTTTCGTGATCTTCTCTCCAGTTGTGGTAGAGGAACTTGATTTCTGAATGGCAAAAAGAAACAAGAGTTGGGGGAAGGGTGGGAAGGGGAGGGAAAAGAAAGTAAGAAACTCACAACACTGATAAAGAGAAGATGTCAAACAAACTAAAGCTATCACACAACAGTCAGGAATGAAGGCTACTAGTTCAGGCACAAACAGTACATTCTGTCCATATACTGAAAATTCAGCTTTTTAATTAAAAGGGCCCAAACTCCCCATTCTCATGTTTCTTTCACCAATTTGAACTTTGGATCCCAGAAGGCAAGTTTCTGATGTTGCCTCATTTCATTTTAATAACAAATATCTCTCACATAGTGCTTCTCATCCACTTATCTCAAAGTGCTTTGCAAGCAGTAATTTTGGCAAAATTGAAAACACGTTTGTCCCACACAGCTTATACTAAAAACAAACTAATGAACATTCTCCCTTTCCACCTTAAAAAGGGCTAGAAGACCCAGAAGTGTTTCAACAGAACAGGAATTCCACGAAGATAGCCTAACGCATGGATTACAAAAATCTAGTACCCTGGGGAGTGGTACCCAATTTAGAGAGTCATAAATGGTATTGCTTTACTGTCTGTTTGCACTACTGTTCGCCAAGAGAAAGATAATTAAGAGTGCCCACATTACGAGGAGATTGGTGGCAATACTCTTTGAGAACTGTGAATCAGCTGTCTGAGCCAATAATGCTCAGGAGTAGGTAATACTCTCCTCTCTTAAAAGGACAACAGAAGATGGTCATTTCACATGTCCTGCCTTGGGAAGAGAATGTGTATTATGACCTGGGGAAAAACAGGATTCACAGCAATCAGAGGTGATTGCTGAGCACTATCAGGAAAAGTGAAAGAAGTGGAAAAAGCAGAATTGCACGCCTGAACCCTTTCTCTTGCTGCTACTCTGACTTGACAGCTAACAAAAGCTCACACTATCTCGATATCCTTTTCTTTTTTTTCTAGGGACAGTGAAAGCACTGAGGCTGCTACACAAGCTAGAACACATAACTTCTCATCATATCCTCTTCTTGCATCTGTAAGCTGGGCTCTGTGCCATGTGTGGATGGACCACACACCGTCTAAGGCCTCTGATCGGACAGCAGAGTGGAGCTGTTACCACTGATGGCAGACCCTCCCACTTGCACAGGGTGAAGTGATTTGCCCTGCACTGGAAGATGGAGTGGATTAGAACTAAACACAAGAGAGAAAGACTGATATAAAGCTTTGGGAAAGGAGCCAAGTATAAGAAGGGAAACATACTCTCTATACAGTAAAATCCTAAACTTGCTTGTTGACTGCAGAAGACACATCAAAATCATCTAGTCAACCACTCTTTTCCTCCTTTGTCTTTCCTTACTTTGAACAGGAGACAGTACTGCTCTTAAGAATACCTTAATTCTAGTTGAACACTTCTAAACAAGACTCTAGAAGTGTACCATGGGTGCTACAGCACCAGCCACTTGTGCATGCCCCCACACTGTGATGGTGAGCGCTGGCACCTGACACCACGAAAGATGCAGCATAGTAGCATCCAACTGCCAATGATTTTAAAAGCACTGCCACCATTCATCTTGCACATTAGCCTGGAAAATATGACAGGCTCTGTATCTCCCTCCAGCTGAAACTTGGCAATACTGGAGGAGAGCCAGGAGAAAAGAAACCCGAAGCCAAGAGAGTGTGATCCAACAGTTCCATGAGCCACTGCTGTTCTTTCCAGTGAATGGATATTCATTTTAATTAAATAAATAGCCTCCCATAAAGTTTTCTGCTTTACTTCCTGCAACTCCCTTGCAGTAGTCCTTCCTACAGACGGATAATATTACCTTCTTAACTTAGCAACAAGATACTGCCTTTAATTTACTTGGGTCAGATTCACTTGCGTTAGAAATCATAGTAAAGTCAAGTGTGAATTTGTTTTACTAATATTAAGTGGCTGGTAAGAAAGTATTCTGATATGTCCTGCAGATTTTGATTATGCAATGGAAGCACAGACTGATTCTGCAATGGCAAACACTTTACTCAAAACATCACTTGCATTTAAGTGTATTTAAGTGTTCAAGAGAATTTTTTTCAATACAGATTTTTTGGTGGAGGGTGCAGTGAGGGCTGTAGACAAGTCATCTTGCTACTAATATGATTTTGTAATGTAAGCAGATAGATGATTTTAGATTCAAACAGCAGAGTAAATTGATGCTACTCTACCAACTGCAGTAATAATAACAAAGCTACATTACTGTTCATCAGCATTACCATTAATTTTAATTTGCACTTAGGAAGCCAAGGAACTCCAGTAAAAATGAGGGTAGGAAATTTCACCTTTTACCCAGTAAATATTGTATGCCCTCGTATTTTAACATGTAAGGCAACAAAGAAGTTTCTATTTCAAATTTACGGTAGTTCAGCATTAAGAATGTTCAGATTTACCAGTTTTATGCCTTGGTTTTTATATGGTAAGATTCTCTTTTTCAAATCAGACTCAGCAGAATGGAAGCCAGTAAAGAATTTTTCATTCCGTGCTCTTCTACTGTAGGTCTCAAATAATGCTGCTTTCCAGCAATGCGGCAGCAGGCTCTAAAATGACAGTATAATCTGAAAACTTTTCACAGCTTACGGAAGGTAAGAAGTGTTTCTTACTGTGTTAGCTTTCAGGTTGTCAGGCTTTGTAAAATGGGCACAATTTTCTTCTAAAATGAAATGTTAACTTTAGAAGAATGCACTGGTGGGAAAAATGCTATTCCTCAAGAGTAAAGATCTTTTTCTCTTCTCTGTTTTTATAAATGTAAACATGTAAAAATGACAGATGTGTGCAAACTAGTCTACACACAAACTTCAGATCCACAAGGGTGCATTCAGCTGGAAGCCTAAATCTGCCTGTAGGTCAATGTTAACCACAAGAAAATACAGGTTTATTACGAGATGACATCATTAACAGATCCTTAGCTGAAGTGAGTGCAAGCAAGACAATGCTGAAAGAAAACAGATGATGAGCTTTTCTTTGATTTGTTGATAATTGTAGTAAAAAATACTGGTGCAATCCTGTTGCATAGACCTTCATTAACTTAGCTGTATCCTACTCTGCCCTCAATTCCCAGCTATTCTACAGATGTTACTATCCGTCTTTAAATGGATGATAAAAAAAACAAACAACAACAAAAACCCAACGAAGAATACAGATGCCAAAGCCAATTCCCCTATTAAATTTGCTTAACCCCATACTTTATTTTCAATATACCTATCCCCTATTGAAGTTGTGCAGCTTTAATACAGACTGTGGCATGGTGAAGCTACCTAATCCTTCAGAACAACAAAAACTTAATGTGAAATTTTCACATTAGGGCAGTGGTAGTTATTGCTGCACAACTCCCTAGCTACCTGTATTTATAGAACTATCTACTGTTCACTTTCCCCACTTCAGTAAAGGATTTGCCAACACTACACTTATTACACAGCGCTCTTTCACTACAGAACAGTATGCATACACAGGCAGCAATACAGCTGCAAATATAGCAAAACAGCTGCAGGCCAATCTCAGACAGAGGCTGTTACAGGACACAATCCTCTGCCAAGATATATCCTGAAGGACTCCGCAACTCCCCTCAAAGCTAGCACCACAGAGACAGTGCTACTCAGGCGTCTCTACTGTCATGTGCACATGTAATTACAAACAACAGACAACATTTTATGGGATTTTCATAACCTAGTGTTTTACTCATGTTGCAGTGACTACGCACAGTGCATACTCATTTTCAAATTCTCTTTTAAAGAATTTTAAAGACGCTTAGCCACTGTAAGGGACACAGGCTAAGTATAAAATTCACACAGCAAAAGCCAACTTTTATCTTAACACTTAAGAGCCTTCACAACGTAATGGTGAACAATTCCTTCTCTACATTTTCTTATGCCTCAATTCCATATAGAACTACTCAAAGAGAGGACTCACTTTGTAGGATCACAGGTACATTGTGAGACCATTCACCCTTGCTTTTACCCTCTGCTGAAATGGAGAAGTTGTAGCACAAGAAAGCTGCTTTGGGATTTAATGAACAAATCTGGTCTGTTTCCAAGTGTAACAAAACGACTGCAATCAATCTTCCAGTCTATGTCAGGCTGCTGTTAAGGTCGATGAAGTTATCCAATACACTGGCTTTCATAGGTAAAAAGAGATCGGCTAATTTACAGCACTTATTTTTCCATCATTCTAAAGCACTGTATTTATCCCAACCTGTGCACCAAGAAGCTAAGTGAAGCTAAAAATGCAGCAGCATTTGAACAGAAGGGCATTCAGAAGAGAAGCTTTTTACACTGAAAGCACAAACTTCGTCCATTTGTTTTTTCCAACACTATACTTGCTATATTTACATGGAAAATATTCCATGGTAGCTCTAGGATTTATTACGTAGTTCATACAATGAGCTCAGGAACGCGCTGTAAAAGAATTTGATGGGTTAGATAACCTATGCAGTAGCCTTGCTTTCCTCCCAGAGAAGCAACAGTCAAAACATTACTACAAACAAAACTAACCCCATATTTTTGTGTCCCACCCCCCTTATAAATGCTGTTAAGAGCAAATAAGATTTTGTGGGAACAAGTAACACCAGCTGCCTTCTGAGACTCAAAGTTGCTGCCAAATAAACATCAAAACATCCAGGTGGTGCACTTCATGCCATGCTGCTTCTCTGCTCAGGGCATTCGTTAATGTCTGGCTTTCTGAAGGGAAGACCCTTTTTCCTCCAATTGGCCTTCCTCTATTTTCCAAGACACACTCTTCAACATAAAACTTTGTGAAAATTACCAACAAATTGTTGGTATTTTACGTGCATGTTAGCACAGGAAGAAAAAACTTGATATTCCTCACAAAAATCTGTTGCAATATTTTTCTCAAGTGAGAAAATATGATCATTATTTTTAGTAGAAAGAATAGGAACTACATACATTTTCCTGATTATAAAAAAGAAAAAAAGCAAAAATGGCTAAGTGGACACTTGCTCTGCAGAAGCCACAAATTCTGCATTCTCTTTTTTTCTGTATGTATATACATGTACACAGATTTTTCTGTGTGCATGTATAAATATATGCCATTTATATTTTAACTCCATGCATCTCTCTCAGGTTTTTCCTGGAAGAGAATAATTAAACATGATTCACCTAAAAACAGCTTTCTAAAAACTTACACATATCTTTTTTTTTTTTCTACCCACAATCTGGGTTATTTCAAAACAACTGAATGAAGCAAATCAGAAACAATTTTGTTTTAGATTGTGCCCTAAGAACTCAATAATCATATTTCCAAATACACAATTCAAAATTAAAAATGCTTCAAAAATACACACGGCAGCTTTTTTTGTGGCGCTAAGGCTACAATTCAAGTGTTGCTGGATCTTAGTTTTTGTTGTGTGGGATTTTTTGTTTCATTTTTTATTTTTCCTAAATAACACTAGCAAAGACAAGTGCAGCAACCAGAGTGAAATCAGTTGTGTGAAGGAGTTTGGGCCCAGGAACAGAAATGGAATTGTCCTTAACAACACAGTCGGCATGCTTGGAAGCTGATGCATTACAGGATGTTTTCTTCACAACAACTGCTGTATTACCAGACAGCACATTTGCATGATGCACACGATTTTACTCTTTCTTATTTTAAAGTATTGTTGGGACAAATTTTGCCCTTGGAAAAGCATGCTCAGGCCCCACTGAAGCCAGGCAGTGGAACTTACAGCCATGTGTCCAAGAGCAGAATCTGTACCCAGTGTTACAAAGAAAGATAACTGTTTAGTGGATAAATAATGAAGAAAAGGAATTTATAAAACAAACAAGCAAGCATTAAAATAGAATTAATTACAAAAAAAATAAACAAAAACCAAAAAAATCAGAGCCACTTACAGGGCTTGATGGAGTCTTTGGCCAGCCTGGGCTGCTAATGCTATCACTTTCATCTCCATGAAATGAGGAGATGCTAGCAGAGCTTGGGGACATTGGGGAAGGGACTGGCAGGTTGCCTGGGGTTGGGGGCTGAGAAATACCCTGAGAGCTGTAGCTATCCTGTGGTAGAGGAATAAAAAAAAAATAATATGACAAAGCAGGGAAAACTTTATTAAAAACAAAAAAAATACATCCAGTTTAACAGAGTGACCAATTTTTTATATATAAAATATATATAAACAGAGAGACACATACAGAAAACACACACATATATAAATATATTTATATATATATATAAAGTATTAAAACAACATTGTTAATTAGTATAATTTGGAAAGTTTGCTGGATGCTTGGCTAAAGTCACTAAGCCACCATGCTTATTTCAAGCTCACATGGAATGCTAAGCATGGGTTTCCCCTTATGAAAGAAAGAAAAACAACAAGCTGTTCACCTTATTTTATCAAATAAGGCAAGAAAGCAAAATATTAAAGTATGTTGCTGCTGCTGAGCCAGCCAAAACAGGAAGCCATAACTGAAGGCAGAGAAAAATGGCTGCAAGTATTGAAATCAGGCAAGACCCTTCTTCCCCACCCACCTGGCACAGCCGAATCCCCACGCAACTTTTGGCTTGGGTAGCTTTGCCCCCGCAAGTTAAAATGCCGTAAGAACTAGTAACTTTCAGATCCACACAATGAAGGAAAAAAGGAAAAAAAAAAAAGAAGAAACAAACAAATTGCACATGAATGGAAACGCATGCAGGAAAGAACAGAAGTGGGTAGGCCAAAACCAGAAGATGAACGACAACACAGCAGAGTCCTGCGGGCTGAACCAACACCACGTGCGGAGTGGTAAATACCTTTGATTTGCTCTCAGGTTGAGGGGCTCCTTCTTCTTTGCCATCTGCTTTGAGAGGAAGGGGTAGTTTGGACTCACCAGGTGTCATCATATCTGCAAGACCCATAGGTGCTAATCGAAAACAGGAGAAACAGTTAAGCATGACTGTGTTCGGTTTGCTAGGAAAAAAAGGCTTCCTGCTGCCAGACTGTGGTGACACGTGAAGCAGAGGTTATCCCACCTCTGTCCTTTCGTTTTGGCATCCAGAAATCTGCACACCTCTTCAGTTGAAGCGAGGAAACAAAAGAAACGAACACGGGAAGAATGCAAGCGCCACACAACAACAATAAAAAACACTTTATGCAGAAAATCATTTTTCACACCACTGGTGGTCTACAGCTGTCTATGGATCTGACCACTACATTTTACCAGGCCAAGAATCTACCCTACTAACTACTCCACTTTTCTTTTAGTAATAGACTAAGCTAGATGAAAACAATGCAGACTTTGCTTGCAATTTTGAATCTGAGGAAAAGGCTGAAATTCTTCTGTACTATAACTGGTGTCCAGGAGATGATCACTGTCCCTATCTTCACGGTACGTTGTTCAGCCTTGTGAGCCTGAACTACAGAATTACGAGCTGCAAACTCTGCTCTGTTAGAGAAGTGGCAGTCAGCTTTTCCTCTTGTGCCAAAATGAGGTAGGACTGTAATGAACACACAAATATCTTGCTCTGATAGTGCAATGCAGTTAACTTCTCAGAGCCGTGAGGGGTTTAAGGGTTTTTTTTTTAATTTTTTCTTCATTTCAAGTGCTAAGTGTAGTGTTATCGCTGCTGGCTTCATGGACTTCTAGAAAGATACAAGAAACATTCAGATAAATACACAGAAAATACTGGTCAGTGCAGGTGCTAGGAGGTGCCATGACACTGAATCAATGCAAATGACCAAAGAACAAGAGCAAGACACCAGGCACTTCTTTTCTGCAAGAAAATCATGTGCTCAGCATTTGTGAAAGACTGGATTATCTTCCCTCCCTCTCCCTCTTTTTTTACTCCCCTCATGTCCTGCTTTCAAAGAAAGATCAGAGAGAAATAAAAACATAAGACTAGAATAACCTACAGGGCAATGAAAAAAGAAAAAATACATATCCCAAACTCACAAATTCTAAGAATCAGCAAAGAAACATTTCTTAAAAAAAAAAACAACACAGAAATGTGATCATTACCAGACTAGTGTGCCTCTGCAAAATGACAATGCTGGCTCACACAAGGCAGCAGGCATGCTGCATAGCAAGCCAAAGAGAGGAGGGGGAAAAGAAGCTTAAAAATGCTTCACAGATTGCCCACTACAAAATGATTATTGCACATATTCATGTATTACTATGTTTTAGAAAATAATTAGTTTTAATTACAGCAGTGAGAGCATGAGCAGGACTCTGGTGAATACGCTGGCAAGCTTTGCAGTGCTAATTTGCTAATATCTTTAGCATCACTGCAGGTTGAGACTATGGGTCTGCCAAAAAAACCTACCCAGCCATGTGCCATGTGAGTTTACAACTGTATGCTCAATATTCAGCTTTGAACGGCCAGTGTTTTTCATGGGCACATTTTCTTGTTTTTTTTTGCACAGTACATTTGTAGCCCAATCAAACCCTTAAAGTCTTCACTGCACATAAATCATAATTGATATTTAAAAAAAATATACTTGCAATACTTAAGATTTCAAGAATTGGAACAAAGAGGTTTTTTCAAGTGATGCAGCTGCAGAGAAAATCTATTGGGATCAGCTAAAAATGCTGTTATTTTTATGTATGTGTGTGAAACCTCAACAAAACAGCCAAGCAATATTATACTGGGAAGCCAGCATCCACTAAGCGTGTGATTTGTATGCATTTTGCCCTTACAGTGCTTGAAGAACTGGGGTATTATGAAGTGAAGGATGTCAGCTTAACACATTTTAGTTTTGAGATCTAGAGTTTAAAAAAAAAAAAAGTTACTTTTCTTTCAGATATGTTTTTTAAATACAAAATGGTCAAATGTATGCCACAGTCTGGTTTCAAACTGGGATGCAAAACTGCTACACAAAATCCTTTTTAACACATTTCATGCTGTGAAAGCACTGAAGAAGACATCTCAGTTTTAGTTAAAAGCAAACCAAAAGTGACCCTTCCCCTCTAAAGCAATTTTAGAAAGGTCAAACAAAGTAACGTTAAAAATCATGTTTCTTCACTGGAATTCAGCATGGCCAAATCCTCTGCTGGTCTCTCCCTGTTACGACGCTGGCACATGACTTTTCTGTTACAAAGAACAAAATATTTCTGCCTATTCCTGGCAGCCCTATTTCCACCAGAGCTCCTTTACAAAATCTCTTTTTCAATGAGGTTTCCACTAAGATCTCATGTAAAGGGCAAGAACTCTAGGCTGCAACAAAACACACCCTGACTACATTAATTATATTTGGGAATACAAAAACACCAACTCATTTTGTGTACTGCAGATTTCTTGTTTTGTGCATATGCATATATAATTTGGTCTCCAACTATCAGGAGTTGGAGAAAATTACAAACAAAAGACAAATGAAGCTTTCCAAATTCTTTTTCACTTTGTGTTCTAAACTATTTGCTTCACATACGTAATTTGCTTCTGTCCTAAAGAGGAGAACTGCAGGGGTTTGACTACCAAATGTAAGGTCTCCCTATAGCTTTTATCCAACACATTTCCACAGCTACTTTCCATCCACTGCTGAAATGCTGTTTCATAACTTCTTGCAAATGTACTCTCCAGTGATTTGCAAACAGACACTCCTTCACTTTTCAGCAGAGCAGTACAGCCAGAACATTGTTTTGACCCTTTCTGAGCAGCAGAATACTGTTATTGTCACGAAACTGCTAAATTAAGACATGCTCTCTTTCTACACAGGCACTGATAATTCTGCGTGTGAAGTGCAAACCGAAAAAGAAAACATTTTAGAGAAGAGGGTAACAGGAAAACCTTGACTCAGAAAGTGCTGTAGTGCACTGTGAATAGGTTTCAAGTACTAGCCTCTGGCTTATTATAAGAATTTAAGAGCTAGAATGGTTTCAAAAAGCAAGTATGGGTCAAGGTCCTGAATTAACTATTCCACACTGAATTTAATGTACTCAAAGGTATATATTGACATGAGTGAAACTGCAGCAAAGTATTCTTTTTTGCTAAAGGCTGTGCTATCAGTCTCAGAAGATGATGAAATACTGTAAGAGCAGCAATACACAAACATTGTTTTTCTCTTTATTGCTAGCGCAATAACAAATCACACTCTACAAAACAGAATATTGCATCCTTTGTAAGACATTTCTCCCTCCCTCCTGCCCCTAGCACTCTCCCTCCAAAAAGGAAAAAAAAAAAAAAAAAAAAGAACAAGAAAAAAGAAAAGCAGAAAATTTATGACTCGTGAAGCTGGCAAAAGAATCCCCACTGCTTTAATACCCACAAAAAAACCAGAACAGGGACAACAGCATTGCCTCATATCCTCCCATGAACGGCCATTCCCCTGTGGGTCAAAGCAAAGCCTGGGACACTTGGCCTCTGTTTCTGAGACAGGCACTTGGGCAGCCAGGATGTCAGCACTGTGCTCTCCACATGCCTATCCAACCTTTTGCCTGAGGGGTGACCCAGGCACGTGGCTGGGGATGTGGGCAAGTGAACTCCAAGAGCTGACTGATTTGTGGTCACACTGACCATCAGGTTACAATCATCGCCCATTTAAAGTCTAAGGGATGTGTTACTTCAGGTGTTACAACTGCTGGTGCCCTCTGAAAGTTTTATTTAAACGGACTTTAAATAATTGCTCATATGAAGGCATATATTAGGGCAAAAAAGAAAGAAAAAGGAAAATAAATGGAGGTCTTCATTAGTCTGAAAAATGAAAACCAACCAAGCTACAAAATAGAGAACAACAATTTACACTTCTAAAAAATGCTTCACATTTATAAATATAATCACTTTCTCTCTCAGAGGTCCAGCCAAATAAATACAAAGTCAAAAACATATTATAAATGAAAATGTAAGTGTTCTACTTTTAAGAGAATCCTTTTAATTTCTTCAGCACAAATAACTTTTCCTAGAACTTCACATTTTATGTTAAGTATTCCTACATCCTACAAGAATCCTACAAGAGATTTATTGGGAATAACAAAACTCAGAAAAATAAAAGGTTTTAGTACAGCAGAGGTGGCAGCAGTAAGGAGATGAATGTCTTTTGACTGTTTTGTTCACCTTCAGAGGTAGAAAGGGGTATGAGTACAATATGGAAATCCACAAGACGTAGACTCCATATTACTTGTCTTTCAAGCTAGTTTGCACTTGAATTTCCAAGGTTCACATGAATATTTTTTTTTTAATTGATGTTGGATTTGTAAGTTCCTTTTAATTATATTTTTTGAAGCCTGAATTAGAAAAACAGAGGAAAAAAGGATATAAAATAAATATGGGAATGTGAACCCTCGTATAACACAAAGACAGCGGAGGTTTTTACTATTTTTCTGTGTGGCAGTTTGTTCCGTAATTGTCAAGGGATCCTGGCTTGAAACTTTCAGTATTATGGGTGGGATACTCTATTAGAAGGACTGAACTACATTAACCTCATAATTTCTGTGCTCCAAAACTGCTCTATCTCAGCAAAAGCTGCTGATGTGCTGTTTGACCAACAGCGGCTCCTGAAATATCAGGATGCAGAACTGCAACATCATTATTCCTTTTGATTGTTACATCAATTAAAAAAAAAAAGACAGCAAAATAATAATAAAAAAAATTAGCTGGTATTAAGGAGTTATAAACAATAATAAAAATAGGTGGCAAGAAGCATTATATGCAGTTGTACAGAAGCTCTGCAACCGTGTAAAAACAATTCCAAACAGTATCTGCATCTTCTTCTACTTCATAAAGCAAAACCTACAATTGCATTTCATTACAAATAAACCAAAACCTACTTTCCACCTTCCACCTTCAAAACAGGCAACTGCACTCTCAAAAACCCAGAAAACCAACAAGAAAGCAGTCATTCCCTGTTGCTTACCTTATTTTTGCATTGACCTGTGATTGAAACAACAGGTATGCATGCTCAGTGCTTGCCAGCAAGTTAACCCTCTCACTTGATTCCACCAGCAGCTACTCAATTGCTTTTTTTTGGCCCTACACACTGACTGAACCCTGTTTTTTTCTGATTGACATGGCTTTATACTAGTGGAGGGCTCAGGAGCCAGGCAATGGAGTTGCTCTTTGTGTCACAGGTAACACCATTTTTAACCTACATGCAGGCGCCATCTGCACGTTCTCTACCTCATAGCATGCAGCGCCTGGATGAGAGCAGACCCTGCAGTGCCCACCCTGCACAAGCCAATATCATTTGAAGTGCAGTAGTGACACTTCTCTTAAGCTCAGCCCTTCGTTTCTTTGGCCCAGGCAGAACAAGTCAGCACACAGGGAATGGCAGCACTCCCACTGCATGTGCCCCAATGGTGTACTCATGCCCCATTTTCTCTTTTCCCCCCTGTACCAACACACTCTGTGTGCTGATGGAGTCTGCAAAAGTGACACAGTATAATCTAGATGCATGTCTGCTCACACACAGAGGAGAAGAGGTGCACTGAGCTCCTCCAGTTCATCTTGTGCTTATTTTCTATTGGGTAACCTTTGAATTAATAAAAGTGGAACAAAAGAAAACCTCACAAATGCACTGGCAGAAAAAAAAAAACCCTGATAAATGTTTAAATTATTAAAAATCCAATATTTCAGAATGCATAACACAATAAAAAGAGTATGACTACCCCATACAAAAGACTGCTAGGATAAATGGCCTTGCATTGAACAGATTTCCACTGTATGAAATAACGAATGGCTGAATTATCTGAACAAAAAAACCTCTGTGAATCTTCCTTTAAACTGGTTATTCCTTAGGAATACATAAATCTTCTTAGGCAGGGCACTCTGCCATCTGTTTGCTGTTGGTTATTTTTGCAGCTCTGGGGGCCGAAAGAAAAGGGGGAAAAATTACTTCTGCTAATAGCAAAACAGAATTTATAGCACAGTTTCAATGCTCAGAAGTAATTTTATTTCAGCAAGCCAGACAAAACACATAACTACACAAACAAAACATAATATTACCTGGGACAGCTCTGGTGGGGGAAGAGCCAGCTATTATCTAATGGTCTTTTCAATACCTTTTCCCTCTTCGTTCAGATGGTAGAAGTGTGCTGTCTGGACTAACCAAGAGCTTTCAAGACAGACTGGAAAAGGCCTTTTTTTTTTTTTCCTTTTTTTTTTTTCCTTTTTAAAGCTTGCTGATTAACAACTTCTATTCAGTTTCTTCAGCTAACAAAAATGTAACAGTATTCTTGAAAGATAAGACAACTCTTAAGTATTTCAGGAGCTCCTATACACAGCAAAGAAATGCTCTGATCACACTGGACACCAGAATTTCATATGATCATTTTCTGTCTGAGAAGCAAGGGAACATAAAATTGACAAGAAGGGAAAGCTGGAAAGAAGGCAAAGGATGAAGGAATGAAACAGGCTAAGCAGTAAGATACTGAAACACACACTCTTGGTAAGATACGATTTAAATAGTAAGGTATCTTTAAAGAAAGAAATTAACTAAATAAAAGCAAAAAGTAGAAATTCAACTTAAAAAAAAAAAATCTAAAAAAACAGCTTTCAAAAAGGTCTAACGCAATCAGTAAAGCACGCACAAAACCTCCATGACTGCAGTAAGTATTTTGAAAGAACCACTGTAGAGTACTGAAACTCCATCTGAACCCTCCCAGTGAAAGAACTGGTCTTTACTGAAGACCAGAAAGGTAACTGTTAGGAAGCCAAGCTGAATATGGATTATAAAGCATATTTGCTGCCTTTGAACTTGCACACAAATCTGCAAAGAACTCTAAATTCACAAGTCACAGTGAGAAAGATAAACCCAACAGCTATGCTAAATATGCTTTGTTTGCAGAAGGAAGCTATGATTAAATTTCAACACTGATATTTAAATAAGTAAATGAAGAAACCCTATAGATGGTTATACAAATTCTGGAAACCCAGTAAATATGGCCTATATTTTCAGAACAGAGTAATTATTGTAAGTGTCCAACTTACAGCATCTTCAAGTCAGAGCAGGTGCACACTGTTTCTTTAAACCAGCATCACATTAAATATCTGAAATTGCAACCTTAGGAAGAAAGACACTGAAAAGCAAATAGCAGCCTCTTCAAAGAAGAGGTTTTTCTTCTCTTTCCCTCTCTTGCAGACACGCACAAAAATACACATCTACTTGTGAGTCAACACCTATGTCAAACAGGGTCCGAGTGCCACTGTAACTTTCAAAACACTGTCCTCACCTACGTGCTGTGCGAAGGACTTCATGAAAAATGCGTTACTGTACAAAAAACATGACTATCTCAGCCTAGTTTCAAATCACTCCAAACTACCCCAGCAGGGGGTGAATCAAATGAAGAACGTTATCCTCTGCCATCAGCTCAGGGCTGGTAACTTTAAACAGATTTTTTGGAGAAAGGCCACTCCTGAAAGGTTACCCACCATTACCTGTTGAACTGTTCACCATGTTAGGCGCCATGCTGTATGGAGGAGCCTGTGGGTTCATCAAGCCTGAGCTGTTGTTCATTGGCTGAGTGTAGGGGGAGCTGGAACCCATAATACCACTCTGATTCATGGCAGGAAAATTGCCTTGCCTACAAGAAGAAAAAACACACACACAATGTTTCATTACAAATCTCACTGAAGAAGGTGCTGTGGTTTGTCAAAAAGTACATCTCCTAATGTTTGCAAATTGCAAAGGAGAAGGCACACGATTAGTTCACCTTACCTACATTGGGAGCTATTAGTCTTGAATCAGTTACTGTACATCTAAGAACTGGACGGAACACAAATTTCAAGACACTGAAATACACAGTATGTGGGGTGCTTATAGTCACAATCTATCAACACAAAAATATAGGTCATATTATTTATTCTGTAAGTAGACAACAATGTGAGTCAAAATTACAGCCTAGGCATAAAAAAATTTCGGAGTGAATGAAAATTTTTACCATATAATACAAGTCCTCACCTGCCACAGCTCACAACACAGTGAAATGACCAGGAGAAAAATGGGTGCCATGGAATCTGTTACAGATTTGTTTGTCTGATGTTATCAAACACACCTTGTTTCCTGTAAATGCTTCCAGACTCAGCTTTCAAAAGAGAAAACCAACTGCATGTCTGCCTTGAATGTGATTCATGACCAAAAGTGGCGTTCACAGAAGTCCCAATGAAATCATAAAAATGTAACTTCCTGCTTCGTTTTTCCTTCAAAACAGATTTTGTGTGTGGATGTTTTTGTTTTGTGTTTCTTTTTTTAATCACACAACAGATGTTCCTGTTTCCAGTATTGATTTAGGGCCCAAAGTCATAGTTATTTAGCAAATACCATTAAAGTGACCAAAGACGTGACTGCAGCATTGAACAAAACGTCCATTTCATTGTACGTGCTGTTTAGGTCCAATCTTTCAAAAAGCTCTGTACATACTATACACTGTCAAAACAAGAAGCCTCAACAAAACTATTCCGGTTTTGAAACTTAATTGTGTGTCTATAAAATACTTCCATAATTGAGATTCACCTCTGTCTGGAAAACTGGAAGAATTCTCCAAAATATTTTTAAAGACATAACTTCAGATGCTTTTCAGTACTTGTAATGCTTAATCCAACTTCAAGAATAGCCTTTTATTCTTTTAATCTGCTATTCATTTATCTACCTTTTCTTGGCATCATTAAAGACTGCACATTATATGACATGTATATGGGCATATGGCTACACATACAAAATTGCATCTATAAATAAAAGCACAAATATACTTATTTGAATATCGATAGCATGCATAGGAAAATAAAAAAAAATCAGACCTCTTTCTTCACTGTGCCCTTGTGAAATTATGCTGTTTTTCAAATACATAAGATAAAAAAGGAAGCAGCCACATTTTGTCTTCCACAGCTTCGGTACCTGTCTGCTTTTTGTCTTCCTCCAAGAAAAAGAGAGCATTTAAATTTTACTATATAGATGGTGCAAATTGCATGCCCTTGTATCAAGATGCAGTTTTTTCTATAAATTCTGCTTTTCATTATTACGGTTATTTCAATCAAAGCAGAAAAAACCCCAAGCCAACAATCCTGAGTAACTTCAATGGCTTCTTGTCATCCCCAAACTCATGGCAGATTCTTAACACAATTGGTTGAAATAATTTTTTTTTTTTATGAGGTAGAGGAGGAAGACCATTAAAGCAATATTTGGCCTAATTTTTCTTGACACACTGTGAATTTCTTCAAAGGAAGAGAGAGCGTGTTATCTAAATAAAGCATATTTTTCCAAGTCAGTTTTGTCCTCTGCTCTCTAAAGACAAACTTTTCTTCACTCTTGCGAAGAGGCAAAGGCTCTCTTTTGATATGAAGGAGACAACTGCCATACAATGTCATTTCCCTGATGAAGCTGGTAATGCATAGCGGGGGGAAAAGATTTAAAATGCACAGTGGTACAATGCTCCAAGGGAAAGTTACAAAGGGAAAAGAGAAGAGCAGGACCATTTGGCAACAGCTTTAAGAGATTTCAGTCATACAAGCAAGCTTTTATTATGTAAATATTGTATCTTAACACCCTCCTCCCCCTTTTAATTTAGTAAAAAAATTCTATATCTCAATAAATGCTGTGAATTGAAAAGTTCTTTCCATGCTGGATAAGTGAAATTCTTCCCATTACTGGGCAAAGATACGAACGAAGATGAAGAAAGTGTATATGTGCATTTTTACATTTTAAAAAAGGAATAATAGATCTTGAAAGGTTCTTTTATGGACTGCAGATGGGATTCTGGAAAAGACAGATGTCTCCACAGGTATCTGCCTCTCCAATGTCCTTAATTTGCTTAAAAAAATACACGGGAGTATTGTACCTCGCAGGTAAGCTGAAATTGGTCTCGATCTACTAATATTTCAACACTATTACTTCCTATAACATGTACATCTCCTAAGCTGTGGGTCTGTTCTTTGTCTCAAAGTGAAGTACAACCTATTTCATGTTACCCACTTTGGATACCAATCTCAATTGTAGTTCATGAAAGCACCCTGCTGCACAACAGCTTTAAATCAAAAAGTAGGAAACTATTTCCAGTTGAGACAGAGTGTAAATTAAATATAAGGAATATAGTAGCTTTGGCCAGGACAGGGAGAAAACAACCAAAGTTTACAAAATTGCTTCTGTACCCTGAAAGATCTGAATGGCAGAACCTCGTTTTAAAATTTTATCTAGATAGGCAATGCCTTTCCTTGTCATACTCCCATGTAATGTCACGCTTAGAAGGGATACCACTCTGTCACTGGAAAGAGCTCTGCAAGTGATGGACTCAGCACCATCCTTGCACAACGCTGCTCTTCCCCCCTCCCCATAGAGTATGCAGGAGCTAACTCAGCAACTTCGAAAGGTGACATCCTGTAAAAGTTATTTTATTCTGAGATTGGGTACAGTGTGCAGAATGGAGCTTCTACACATATTATTCTGCTCTGTGATGGCCTGGAATGGAAAGTTTCTTAAGGGAGAAATAATCAGGTATTACTTCAGCCTTTAATTCTCATTCCACAGTGAGCCTCCTTTGAGTAAAGACTGCCGACTGTGACAAATTGTGCTGCATCAGTGCTGTAATATGAAGTGGAGTCCATTAAGAACTGAGCTGAGATCACCAAATTCATTCTGATTAACCTCCAGGTCACTAAACACTTATAAATATGTTACATAGCAGCTGCTAAACATATTTATATATGCTTAAGGTCACAGCATCATCTGTTGGTTGTTGGAGTTAAGTCAAAAATCTTATGTTTCCTTCTGTGCTGCTTTTAAGTAAAGGAATATCCAATGTACTATTTAAGAAGTAGTTATCTCAAAAATATACTACTATATTCTCTTCTACATCTTCCAATTCCCTCCTCCATTTTTCTGGGAGGCTAAACAAAAATAAATACTTTCAAAAACTGTTTACTGTACATGTAGTGACATCTAATGGCAAAAATTCAAGTGACTGCCTATGAATTCTACGGCTTAACAAACCCAGTTAAGTATATGATTCCACAGTATCACAGACTCATAGAATCATCTGAGTTGGAAGGGATCTTTAAAGGTCATCTAGTAGAACTTCCCTACAATGAATTGGAACACCTACAGCTAGAAATTAAGAAAAGAAACATTTATGTTGAGTATAATTAAAAACATCTGAATGGTGAGATGCAGTTGCCTTCTGAGGGAGTGAATGAAATCCCAATACCTGACATGCACACACACACACACACCACATCAGAAAATGCACTGGTCAGAGAAATCCTGCATTACATATGTACCAGATGATCTGTCAGATATTTTCCAGGTGTAACCTGTCTTACACAGTGATTCCAGATCATACATTTTTCTGCATTTAGAAGAAAAAATATCTAGCTAATATAAATTTAGGATTATGCTATCAGTTTAAACACCACACTTAAGCATACATGTTTCTTCTTTCTGCTCTACTGTTACAAGTACACCTCCAAGTATTCTGCAAACGGAAGAGACTAAAAATGGGAAAGGGAGGAATCTGATTACTACTCTGTTGAGAATGTACTAATTTACAGCACTTGCATAATGTCAGAGCCAGTTGATATGCTCGAGGAAAGGCCTACCACCCAGGGAGACCCAGAAAGGCTAGAGGAATGTGCTGATGGGAACCTCATGAAATTCAACGACAGCTACACCATGCAGGGAAGAGTGAGCCCCCTGCAGCTGTGTGGCTAGCGCTTGACTGAGTGGAGCAGCTTTGCTGAAAAGGCTCTAGGGGTGCTGGCAAACCGGGAGCTGAGCAGGAGCCAGCCGCATGCCCTGGCAGCAAAGAGAACAAGCGACATCTTGGGCTGTGTGACCTGGAGATTTTAAAGAACCAGAGATTGAGCAAAATGATCATCTCCTTTAGTCAGCATTCATCAGATGGCATCTAGGGTATCACGTTCTGTTTAGGACCCCCAATAAGGGAAAGAACAATAAACTGGAGTAACGTTCACAGAGAGTCCTTAGGAAGGCTGTAATACTTGCTAAGGGGGCTAAGGGGCTAAGCTACCAGGGCTGGTTCAGCCTGAAGAAGACGCAGCTTTGGGAGATGTAAGAGCAGTTCCCCAGCACCTACAAGAAGGTCATCAAGAAGACGGAGGTGTGTTCTTCACAGTGGGGCAGGGTGGGAAGACACAAGACAACAGACAATAGTTAAAATATGAGAAGAGAAGACTGGAAATAAGGAAGCCATTTTTTCCAGTGAAAACAATGATTTGACAGGGTCTCTCTGTTCTTAGATGTTTTCAAGACCCAAATGGATAAAGCACTGAATTCTCAGGTGAGCCTGCAGTGAAGAAGAGGTCAGAACGGAGATGTACTGAAGTCCGTTCCAGCATGAATGACCCTGTGATCCTAAACTACACCTTCGCTGTGCTGTCGATGGTCTGATATACACTATCAGGTCCAAAATAAAACTGGTCAAATTCAAAACATTCCCTTTTAAGAAGGTCATGCTCTGCACTTTTGTTTTCCTTCGTCTGCAATCTACACAAAGCTTAATTTGCACTTAATCTCTTTTCTCTGTAAAATAAGTAGCAGCAGATCTAATTGTATCTTCTGAGCTAATGCAGAAGT